ATGTGCAATTTATACATGGATCGAAATGGTTCAACAGGGACCAGCTGAATTTCAATCCATGTATGGCCACTGTGGTTTAACAGAAGTTGATCTACCAATCAACTTATGTTCAACTGCCCTGTTGGAAAAAGAAAACATTTGACAACAGATTGCAGTGCTGAGTAGTGTATTCTAATGACAGGGAAGTCTCCCCACTGTCAGAACACAAAGACACAGCGGGGAGGATTCTCCCAATCACATTGAATATGTGGATAGAGGAATCGTGAATTTTTCTCATACAACACACTGGTTGTAAAAAAAAAAAAACTGACTCCTCTATGGCCAGCCTTAAAGATACAATTTGGGCTAAATCAATAGTGGTTAAGTACAAGAAGCATGTGTATTCTTACTTGAATCTTGGCCTCCTTTTAAATTTCCTCAGATCTGTGCAGTAATTGAACATAAGATTTTGCCTCTCGGCAGGAGCTTCCTGTAATAAAGACTGGTCTCTGCTGTTCTTTCTCCTTGTGCAGAATGACTGGTCTTGTCTCATCCCCCTGTAATTTTCTGTAGACAGCTCATGATAGGTGGGACCTGCTGGGCCCCTCCCATAGCTCTGTTCTCTGCACAGGCTATGTACAGCACAGTGATGATGTCACCACTGTTTTACACAGTAACAAGATGACGCCTGTAATTAGTGGATTTTTATCCTTTGTGGTTATTTGTGGATATATTTAACTGAAAGGGGTTTGATATAACGTGCGTCAGTGAGCAATCGTATGCGCATTTTTGTGAAAGGTTACGGTAAATGTCTGAAAGAAAAATGTTTTCTTTTACAGTGCACTAAAAGTACATTATTATGCCTGGTAAAATGCAATCATTGCTATGGGCCCTTTTAATGTGCCATACTACAGTAAAAGTATGAGTTTTGCTGTTCTGCAACAATTTGCTATGATCTGAATAGCCTATGCCACTTTGTTTACCTGGGATAAAAAGCTTAACCACTTGCTGTCCGCCTGCTGTTTATAAACGGCAGGGCGGTGGCACTCCAGGGGCGGGTTGCCGTTCATAAACGGCACCTGCCTTTTCTAGCTGTGCGCGCTCCCTGAGAGCGCGCAGCACCGCGATCCGGTGCCCGCTGTGTCCTCTGGACACAGTGAAACACCGATCGTCGGACGGGACCTCTGTACAAGGTCCCGATCATGTGATCACTGATTGGCCAATCAGTGATCACATGCAAAGTAGTAAGCAAGATGTCACTTGTGACATCATTGCTTACTACGTGTGATATCTGTGAATGATCACAGAGGTCACATGGTACAAGACTATTCACAACAACAGCCTTGTACCATGTGACAAGGTGTGACCAATCACAGCTCACTCAGTATTTCTCAATGGCTGCAAGAATGCTGACAGAGAGAAAGAGAAATGATTGCTTTTACATCCTATATGGGTGTAAAAGCAATCACTGTAAAAAAAAAAAAAAAATCATCACCCCCCACAAGTAGTACAGTGTCACCATGGTGACACTGTACTGCTAGGGTGACAGTATGTAAAAAAAAAAAAAAAAAAAAAAAAAAAAATAAAAAAATAAATAAAATTAAATATAAAAATGTAAAAAAAATGTTTAAAAATTATAATTTTTTGGTTATAAACTAATTTGGCTTATACTTTTTTTTTTTTTACTAAATATATAACGGAATACATTTTGGTCAAGATTTATGATGAAAGATTATTTATTTGCAAAATTTTATAAGAAAAACACTTTTTTTCAAAGTTTTTGGACTTTTTCATTTACATAGCAAAAAAAATAAAAATCCCAGTGGTGAGTAAATACCACCAAAATAAAGCTTTATCTGTCTCAAAAAATTGCATAACTGTGCAATTGTCATTCAAAGTGTGATAGCGCTGAAAGCTGAAAATTGCCCTGGACAGGAAGGGGGTAAAAGTGTCCGGACAGGAAGTGGTTATTAATGTAAATGCGTGAATCTGTTGTTTCCCCTGTGAATTCCATGCTGTTTTTTACATTGTTGTTTTTAGTATATTTATGTTTTTGCCACACAAATCAGCAAACAGCCTTTATTTTGTTAGAGATATTTTCTTTCCTTTTTTTTTTTTCTTTATTTTTGTACATCACATGGTTAAGAGTACAGAGACCATAATGCTAATACATACCCCAAAAAAACACGTGCACATAGGAGCTTGCACAAAAGCGATGGTCATATATTACTACACACACCCCAAGTGTGTGTGTGTGTGTGTGTGTGTGTGTGCGTGCGTGCATGCATGCGTGCGTGCGTGCGTGCGTTTCGAAGGACTGGGTATGAGGATTTCTCCGTACCCTGTGTTACATTTTGCACGGTAACCACCGTGATAGGAAAAATATAGAGAGCGTAGAACAGAGGGAAAGAGAAGGTAAGGGGGAGGAAAGAAAAAAAAAATGAGACATATTTTCAATATACCAGTTTATAGCCTTTCAGTTTTCTCTCGCACACCCATATTACTATTTTTTTTTTCATTATATGCCTCTCTGAATGGGCACATCTCCTAGTTAAATCTATGATATAAAGGCAACCTTTGAATTGCCATTTCAGATGTCACACTCAATTACATCTTAGTCTAAAAATATTTGTCATAGAAACTTTCAGCTTCTCTAATTTTTGTTCTTGATCTATTGCATTTGGAGAATAACCAACTGCATTCATGACTGATTTGCTTGCTAAAATTGCAAGTTTTTCTTTAAACAGCAAAAGCAATTTTAAAGAAGAAGAGTCACCAGAAATGTAAAAACCTTTTCAATGGACCAGGGGACCCAGTACCACATAGCATATCTGTGCAGGGGTTCCTGAGCAGCATGGTATGACAGCTTGTGAAGGAGTCAGCAATGGTTGAATGTAATGGTGATACTTTGTCTTTAAATACATGGTTTCCAAACTGTGGCCATTTACTAGCCCTTACCCAGCCCTTGCAGCACTATAATGATATGAGCCAGTATTCCTCCCACTGACACCAACAGTGGAGTATAATTCCTGTCACTGACAATAATGGGACATTATTTCTCCCTATATTATCAATGATGGGGCACTATTCCTCCCTCTAGTGTCAAGGATGTGGCTCTATTCCTCCCACTGACACCAATGATGGGACACTATGCCTCTCACTGACACCAATAATGGGGCACTTTTCCTCCTACTAGTATCAATGGTGGGGCACTATTCCTCCCACTGACACCAACATTCGGTGACCATTTATTCGCTGATACTAATGATGGGGCACTATTCCTCCCACTGACACCAACATTCGGTCACCATTTCATTTACTCCTCTTACTGACCACCAACCCTGAGGCCCATGCTTATACTCACTGATGCTGGGCTCGGGGCAAATTTTTACCCTCACTGGCAACAATTCGGATCCTCTAAAGTCTGAAGGACAGTAAACTGGCCCTTTGTTTGAAAAGTTTGGAGACTCCCGCTTGAAATCATGTATTGCCTTTTATAACTGCAGAGCTTAAAGTGATATTAAACCTCCAGTTTATTTAGAGCACTTTCAGCAACTGGCTTAATCACTTAATGACTTTGCAGCTTCTCTGTTATGTAATCCTTGCCTATGTTCTAGTTCTAACTGGTACCATGACTGCTGCCCCAGGTTTCCTGTTTCAGGGTGGCTCCTTTCTCTTGTAGAATCCTTGCATGCAGGGACTAGAGTTTTGTCTTCCTACATGGTGTGCATCAATAGAAACACACAGACCTAAGATGCCAAGACTCTCTTCTGCTTCTATCTCCTCCTCTTCCTTCCCTTCTCCAAGCTAACAGACTGGCTGGAGACCACACTATCCACTGTTAACTCTTTCATGTGAAGACTGAACGTTGGGGGAAGCAGCACTAAGAGTGCAGGAACCAGAAGAATTGAAAATTGTAAACTGCAAAAGGTCGGTCTCATGGAGACCACATATAGAATAGAACAGACCATGATTCATGGGAAATTAGAGGCTGCTCTAAAAGATAGAATACCCAAATATACATTATATGTACAAATATACATTTAGGCTTCTTACATTTTAGCTTTTACTGATCTAAAATGTAGCCCATTGTTTACAATGTGCCTGTACACACAGGCAAGTAAAAAATCGATCTGTATTCAGTAAAAAAGTAAAGAAAAAAAACAGAAAAGTTTTCGTTTTCCGATCAGTTTTTTTGCAGTTTTACTCACAAGTACGCACAACTGCTAACAAATATGTGCAAATCCCACGCTGCCTGCTTGTGTGTGCATACTCTCAAATATGCACAAGTGATATACAGCCCATCCTCTCATTTTTTTTTTCTGCCATGAATGTCTGATGCTTATACATCAGCACAGTGTGGCCTTATACATAAATAGTTTGTCATTTTTTTTTTGTATTCGAACATTCAGTGTGCTGCATCCAAACATACACAAAGTGCAAACATTGTTCCTGTATATATACCCAAATATACATAGCGACTGCATCCATGGATAGATTATTTTCTGCCTCCAGGAACACGGACATTGGTTGATATGTTTCCTATATGCTGTACTACCCTCTTGGCACGTAGCTGCTCCCCAGGATTTCCCCCTTCCTTCTACCCCACCTCACCCTTCCTCTTGCCCCAGTTCTATACAATTGATCCTTTGAAGGTATTGATTACCACTACTATAAATAGCAGAAGCGGCTGAAGTCACCAGTAGCCCAGTTGGGACCCTCTTTTAATGTTGTGGAATATCTAGTCCTACCAGATAAGCAGTGTCATTGATTATGTACGGAAGATTCATGCAATGTTCTGTATCTCTGTACTTAATAAATTATTTGAAAAGGAATTTTGTAAGCTACAAGCGGTGGGGTAAGATTTCTTTTTTTTTTTTTTTAGGTAGTTTACTGGGGAATGTTAATTTTAATGTGCTCAGTGTATTAAACTAAAAAACATTAAGGGTTGCATACTACTTAAATGTGTTGTTTTATCAATTAAAATGAATGTTCTAATATGTAGCATTCATCTTCTGCAGAGGGATTCTTCAACCACCCGTTCCTTGACCAGGTGTCTACGGTCAAAAAATGTAAGTATAAACCAGACACAGGGTTTTGTGGGGATATAGGTGTCAAGCCAGTTAAGTAGATAGGTTTGCAGCTGCTAATTGGAGAACATATGATACCCATTACAGAATGCGTTTTATCGTAGCTCATGTTCTTACTTTTTTTTTTTTTTTATTTATGGTAAGGGCTCGGGTCAGTTTCCACTTGGAGTGGTTATTGGCCAGAGAACCTCAAATAACCCTTAGACCATAGTTTTGTTTTAAAATGATCATTTTCAAAATAACAGCTCACTGCTTCCCATTAACCTTTTTGGAGCACTGCAGCAACAATATATGTATATTATGTATTTATTGTATAGCATTGATTATGCAAGATTGATAATCTACTGTTAGCACTGTAACACATGACAGCAAGAGTGCCAGCTGTGAAGCTGACTCTTTTCACTGGGTGTCTATTACCACTAAAAGCTATTTAAACTGTATACAGCCACTTAATGCAGGGGTTTGGATGATAAAATGATTCAAATATATTTGTATATGAATTGATGACAGTATAAGGCTGACTCGTGCAGCATAAACAGGTTTTCTTTAGTGATAGTAGATTATTATTACTATTACAAAAAATGTCAGCGCTCTGAAAAACAAATAAAGCAATATGTGGCAGCTATCACATATAGGTAGCATATCAAACCCACATAAATCGGAAGAATCAAAGTGTACAGCACCACTAAAATATTTGTGCAAAAACCCAGAGTGTGATAAATTAAGTTCTCAAAAATATATAAGTGTAAGACACAGTCCACATAAATAATGTCCCAGTGGACATGTCAATTTGCCACCTTCACAAGTGAGGGATTTCACTCCACTGGGACATTATTTATGTGGACTGTGTCTTACACTTATATATTTTTGAGAACTTAAACTCAAAAATCACTAAACCTAAGACCTTGCATTCGCTATATCTGGTCTCCCACAGTACACAGAACATGGAAGTGCAATTATTTTAGTAAATATAAACTGCTAAATACGTTTTTCTCATCAGCAGTTAGAGCAGTCTTGTGACTTCTATCAGTGTTCAGCTGAGCACTGGTTAAAGCTTGTAGGAGGAGTTTTCTTTCTGCTCTACGAGGATGCAAAACCCCTGACCTCTGTCTGGACAGTGCTGATTTGCCCTGTGCTGATCACATGCACTCTCCCAAGAAAAAAAAAAAACCTCTTGAATACACACGAAACAGAGCATGTGCAGAAGGGCTACGGGTTCAGTCTGTCTTATCAGGAGATAAGATGTGGACATTTGAACAAGAGGAAGAGCAGAGAAGACCGGATGAAACTGACTTTTTACAAAATGCAGAGGATTAACCCCTTAGGTTCCACAGTGAGTATAACCAGCATGCTTTGCTGCATATACAGACTGATTTTACTGTTGTGGGTTTAGTAACACTTTAATTTATCACACTCTGGGTTTTTACATAAATATTTTAGTGGTGCTGCACATTTTGATTCTTCAGACTATTATTGTTGCTTTAGTTTAAAAGTAACATAAAATCAAAATGAGAATCGTATCAATAAAAGTGCACGAATAATGTCCTATTACTGATATATAATGCTCTGCACTGTATCCCCAGCCTGTCCTGTCCCAGTGCCTACATACTCGGGGTCAAGTATATCGGGCAGCTCCTGTGGAAGCTCACCTTCTTGTCGATTTGCCTCTCCTCCTGTGAGTATAGAGAATTTCTGATTTTTTTTACTGGGACGGTAACAGGGGCGGACTGACCATTTGGAAACTCAGCACTGCCCGAGGGCCCGGGGTCAGTTGGGGGCCCCATGAGATGCCCCTGGTACCTTTTTCATAGGCTTTTTTGAGTTTGGGCAAGGACATGCGCCCCATGATCCCTTATTGCCCGGGGGCCCCATGAGTTGTCAGTCCGCCCCTGGACAGTAATGTTATTTTTTTCATGCTATAATACACCAAGTGTACACAACAGATTCTTTAGAACGAAATCTCCACTCAAAATGTATTTGTTTTGTTCAGAAGATAATTAGACCATCTAATATGTGTTAGTTATTTAGTCTTAGGTGTATTTTTATTATAAAAGCCGGTCGGGTTTCTCGAGAGCTTCAGCTTCAAAATGTATGTTTTTATGATGGCAAAGTGTGGTTTTATTTTGTTTTAATAAATAGCAGTATTTTCATCTCTAGGTATTGCTTCAAAATAGCTAGAAAAAAGCATACATTTTCAAAACGATTTATCCTTCGCAGTCAGAATAATCACATTTCTTTGAAAACATTTAAAAAAAAACAAAAAACACACAAATCCACTTATGTCAACCAAAATAATCTGTGTAGACTTGTTAACTGTGTACTTCATCAAAATGTCACAGGTGCCCTGCCCTCATAAATATTCAAGAAGTAATCAGAATCTATACTTCAAAACATCCCTTTCTAGAAAAAAAAAACAAATTGACAAGGAATAATATATATAACCTTACATTCCAAACAAGAGAAAAAGATGATCAGCATACAGACATATCGGCTGTGTCGCAGTCACACTAAATGGATCAGCAAAAAAAATACTTATGCATAGCAAAAGAGAGGTGAATTGCAGTATGTCTTCAAACTTGGAACCTTGCCACAGGACCTGAGTTGTGGTGGAATATTTAATTAGTCTCTCAATTCCTTTCTGGGCTAAAGGCAGCTTTTTAGAACACTTGCAATTTATAGACAGCTGCTCTGCATACCGAGAATGAAGACTGTTAGGCCTTCTAAGTGTAATTCAACATTTATTTTTTTTTTATATTTATAGAGCTTGGGTTTGAAAACTGCAATTTTTTTTCTGTCTGTGTCCTCATTCGGTAGATTTTCCACCATTCCTTAGGCAGACCATACATTATACTTTTTTTTTTTTTACAATTTTCCTTTAGATGTACCAAAACCATATATGAGGTCAAACCTAAACAATTTTTATTTGTATGCAATCAGACAGGCCCTTGCACTTCATAGTTACATAGTTGGCTGGCTGAAAAAAGACAAAAGTCTATCCAGTTAAACCATAAAAAAAAAAAGTTATAATCCTACACCCATAGTTGATCCAGAGGAAGGCAAAAAAGTTGAAGGTAAATCTAAAGGACAGTGAACAAGAAAATGATATAATGTATGGCCAGCTTTAGTGTCCACTATTACTTGGAGCAGAAGTGAGGGAAATCCTCCCAACTTTGGGGAAAAAAAATCATTAATAAAAACGGTTTGGTGAAAGGTTCTACTTTTCCTAAGCTATCCAAACAAAATGTAAACATAAATATATATATATTGCAATTTGATTTGTTATCTAAGTAAACAAATCAGATTTTGATTGTTTTATGTTTTGTCATAGTCTCTACCAGACATGCAACATATCCAAGAAGAAAATCTTTCATCCCCACCACTGGGTCCTCCAAATTACTTACAGGTTTCCAAGGACTCTGCCAGCACAAGCAGCAAGAACTCATCATGTGACACAGATGACTTTGTCCTGGTTCCTCACAACCTCTCATCTGACCACTCATGTAAGAATTCACCTTTGGGTATAAAATGCAGGCACCTATAGGTGGTTGCAAGTATCTGCAAAATCTTTCACTACCATTTCTGTAGCAAAATGCTGAGCTGTTCTTGTATGGGCAAAACTCTTAACACTTTCTGGTAATCATGGAGCTTGTCCACTCCTTCACAAACATTCCCACTGGCTAGTGAGGCAACCCAATATAGTGATGGGAAAAAAGTAATATATAAGGCTGCATTCACACCTGAGCAATTTTCTGCTTGAAGCTTGTAGCTCTAAAATGCTCAACAAGCCAAATCCCATTAATTTAAATGGCTCCTATTCACATATGGGTGTTCTGTAGCATGAAGCAAAACACCTGTTGCTCAAAAAAAGTACATGAGCTTCTTTTTAGCAGATAACAAGCATTTTTGGTCCCATAGACTTCAATAGAAACACCTGAAAATTAGTGTTTTTACGAGCGTTGTCACGTGTTTTCTGTTACCTTCCCCCAATTTCCTCACCCTCTCCTCCCCTAGTGCTTTCTATTGGCTAAACAAAATGCCTGAAGTTGTAAAATGCCTGTTTTACACTTCTGAAAACGCTCAAAAACAAAAACACCAGTAAATCTCTACACTCGGATATGAATGCAGCCTGAGCGTTGGCAATGTTCTTTTTCTACTAATATGTATGGACCAAGTATGAGAGCAGTTTGGGGGGTATCATGGCAGAACAATGGTTTAAGGATGGGCTGATGTCTTATCACCTGTCACCCTTTTCGACCTTCTAATAATTGGCCACGCTGTGTATTTCCATTATTCCACAAGTGACTTTGTGAATTAAGTTTGTGTTGATGTACAAGATGTCAGAAGAATAGACTAGAATGTTACTATTTAGTATGTTTTTCTTTCTTTACATGCACATACAGTAGATCCTAAAGCACTTTAAACGCTATAGGTGGCAAAATAAAAAATGATATATTGACTGTTCAGTGTTCAACTGCAATACAAACTGTATTTCACATGTACACTCACCTGCCACTTTATTGGGTGCACCTTGCTAGTACCAGGTTGGACCCCCTTTTGCCTTCAGAACTGCTTTAATTCTTCATGGCATAGATTCAACGAGGTGTTGGCAACATTCCTCAGAGATTATAGTCCATATTGACATGATCGCACCATGCAGTTGCTGCAGATTTGTCAGCTGCACATCCATGATGTAAGTCTCCCGTTCCACCACATTGCAAAGGTGCTCTATTGGATTGAGATCTGGTGACTGTGGAGGCCATTGAAGTAAAGTGAACTCGTTGTCATGTTCAAGAAACCAGTTTGAGATGATTGAGCTTTGTGACAATGTGTATTATCCTGCTGGAAGTAGCCGTCAGAAGATGGGTACACTGTAGTCATAAAGGGGGATGGACATGGTCAGCAACAATACTCAGGTAGGCCGAGGCATTTAAATGATGCTCAGTTGGTACTAAGAGGTACAAAATGTGCCAAAAAAATACCCCCCCACACACACTACACCACCACCACCAGCCTGAACCATTTATACAAGCAGGATGGATCCTTGCTTTCATGTTGTTTATGCCAAATTATGACCCTACCATTTGAATGTCGCCGCTGAAATTGAGACCCCTCAGACCAGGCAACGATTTTCCAATCTTCTATTGTCCAATTTTGGAGAGCCTGTGCGAATTGTAGCCTCCGTTTCCTGTTGGCTAACAGGAGTGGCACCCAGTGTGGTCTTCTGCTGCTGTAGCCCATCTGCTTCAAGATTTGACATGTTGTGCATTCAGAGATTGTATTCTGCATCCCTTGGTTGTAATGAGTGGTTATTTAAGTTACTGTTGCCTTTCTATCATCTCAAACCTGTCTGCCCATTTTCCTACAACATCAACAAGGCATTTTCGTCTAAACAAATTCAGCTCACTGGATATTTTCTTTTTTTTTTGGACCAATCTCTGTAAACCCTAGAGATGGTTGTGCGTGAAAATCCCAGTAGATCAGCAGTTTTTGAAATTCTCAGACTAGCCTGGCTAGCACCAACAACCATGTCACGTTCAAAGTCACTTAAATCCCCTTTCTTCTCCATTCTGATGCTTGGTTTGAACGACACCACGTCTAGATGCCTAAATGCATTGAGCTGCTGCCATGTGATTGCCTGATTAGCAGTTTGTGTTACCAGGTGTACCTAATAAAGTGACTGGTGAGTGTATTTGTTCATATTTATGAAAATATTTCTATTTGTTTTATCCGAGCAACCAATTAGATTCAATGTTTTATTCACTAACTCTTTAATTTTCCAATTTTTTTTTCTTTTACACCAATGGGTTGTTATGGGGAAATGTAGACATTTGTTTACTCTGGAGAAATTAGGTATAGAAAAGAGAAATTCCTCTGGCTGTAGTGTCCACTGTACGTTTTCTACTCAAATGAAAAAGCACAGTACAGTAGCCCAAAGCGTCCAGACTTCAACATTGCATTTGATTGGTTGCAATGTACTATTGCACTTTTCACATAGCCATTGCACTTTGTACTGCATTGTTTATTATGGATTTAAAGGCTGTTTACTTTTTTTTTTATAAAACCCAGCTCCCTTATGCATCAATATACCATTAATGTACCTCAGTTGCAAACATTTTCAAGCTCTCTGTGATGTGGAGAGCAAGGCCTTACCTTCGCCCTTGGTAAATTTTTTCAATTCCTGGAATGTAGACAGAGGAGCTAGTAGGACCCCGGAAGCAAATTACCAGCTGATCTCATTAGCACACACATCTTGCACTGACCTCATTATTACACACCCTTCACCCATCAACTATTTTTTCACAGCATCCCAGGGATCTCTCCCCACATGCATTTTCCATGCTACCCCAGCGTCCCTGCAGAAGGGCTCAGGCCACATGCAGCCCATGGGACACCCCTGTTGTAATCAAGCAAGGGCCTGCTTGATTGGACAGAGTTATTGGATAGATTGTGTGTCCTCCTATTATTATATAGTTTTTGTAAATCTAAAGGAGATTGTACAACCAGATTGTATAGTGTATGGCCACCGTTATACACCTAAAAATTACCTAGCTGCTATCTGTGTCATTAATTGTTAACAGCACACCAAACACAGAAACAAGCACACATTTTGCCACATGAAAAAACGGGTGACAAATGCAGGAAAATGCGCAGTAAAAAAATGTGCAACATGCATCACACCAAAATCTCCCATGACCTACTTTGCCATGTGTAGCGCAACCCATTGAAAGCAACAGACTGCCCTATGTGTGTCACTGGAAAAACGAGCCAAAAAACATGTGCTTCCTCTACTCTCTGTGTGAATGGGGCCTGAAAGTGAAATTGGTGTGTATACACTGAACAATGAGGCTCCGTTCACATCTGTGTGTTTCCGAACGCATGGCAATCTGCACAGAAAATACACATTTTGCCATGCATTTCAGAAACATGCTGAAAATGTGCATCGTGTTTGTGTTATTACATGTTAAAGGCACCCCAAGTTTGGCAAACTCACCAAAAACTTCAGTAATGCATAATGCTTCGCTCCATAAAAAAGTTCTGGAGCTTTTCTGGGGTGATTGGTGTTTTTTTGGCAGCCCATTTAACTGAATGGGTTGCCCTATGCATGACAAGTGAAAATGCTGCAAAGCAAACTCATCCGGGAATGTGTGTCTTCACTAAGTGGATATGTGAACGGCGCCTGACAACTGAGTGTCTCCATCTACTCTTCTCTTTTGTACTTGTATAAAGATGGCCAGACACTTTGCAATCTGATTGTACACACTCTGTACAATTTGCTAGATTTACCAAAACTATGGAAAAGGTAGTCAACAACTCACCCAAGCTCTACTGCTCATCAAAGGAATGTGAATGGGGTGCTGGTGCTCAGGCTGATTTTTAGATCCAAGATACATGACAGAATAGCCGGCAACTCCTATCCTTGTCATATATGCTTTATTTGCACACAGAAGAGGAAATGGAATCCATAAAAGCTGATGCACTTTGGCCACAACCTTTGTCAAAGCTTACATCAAAAAGAACTAAAATTCAGACTTCTGTAACATAACAGACCACAAAGTTAGGGGTGGTACATACTTAATTAAAATCATTGTTCAGTCTAAATGATTGCAGGAGAAAGTGAAGCAATAGGATTTCAGAGAAAAGGAAGAAAAGAAAAAACTTAATCTAATGCATATAACTGCAAGCATCCTAATGAAACAGCAGCACAATAAAATACAACTGCCCTCAACATGGATGCCTGCAAATTGGACATGAGAATAATAAAGGTCATATTTCAATTATTTAAAAAAAAAAAAGATTAACATCCATTCTATTATTTAAAATAAAAGGGACCCTAAAATTGAGCGTATGAATCCAGCACACTTCACATTTAAGTAGGAAGGAAGGAAAAGGATTCAAGGTTCCCACCATGCTTCTCTCTGAAATGTTTATAGAGACATTAGAAATGTTTTTATCATGTGGATTGTTAGTGTAATTATAGTGTTCAGATATTCTAACTCATAATGAACGAATAGTACATCCCACATATTGGAGACGGCAAGCATTGCATTCTGTAGTATAAACTACCATCCTTGAATTGCAATTGATGTAACATTTTAAAGCATATACTTTCTCTATAGAAAATGAAGTAACTGTAGTACTTTTTTATGCCTTTTGCATTGTCTACATGTGTTTGTACCACATGGATAAGAACACTTAGTTCTCATCCATTCACTACTTTGACTGTTAGTTTTTGAACAAAACAAACTGGGTGATAATAATTTGCCTAAAGTAGGAGCTCTTCTACAGGAAAAATTGCATCCGTTTTTTAAAATATCGTACAACACCTTGTCAGCATAAAGAATCGGTAAACATTTTTTTAACTATGGCGACAATTTGTACTGCAAAGAATATGTGGCAACGAAATGAACTTTGTTGCATGATGTTCGTTTGCGGAATCTATCTTTTTTCAAAGGTTCTATAATTCGATTATCCAAATGTTTTTTGGGCTGCAATCATTTCTTGATTTACTAGATATTGGCTGTATCCCTGCTCTCTAAGACTACCTGAAACTATATCACATTCCTTTAAAAAATCACTTTGAGTGGAACAATTCGTTCTCTCCCTCACAAACTCACCAATTGGTAATGCTTTAACCCTTTGAAGACCAAGGGACGTATTTGTCCCACGTTTTTAATTGCCTGTATCATCTGATTAAGAACTTAAAATACTTTTTTTTTTTTTTTTTTTTTTTTTTTTTTTTTTTTGGTTTGAGTCAAAATATTAGTTCTTATCAACAAATGGATCTAGCTTTTTGCCAATTATTTCATGAAATGGCTTAGTTACAGCAACTGAAGTGTACGAACTTTAAAAACAAAAAATTTATTCTTTTGGCGTTCTGTAATCTTATGGTCCTCAAAGGGTTACTAGCAGGTGTGTGATGACAACTAGAGGCGAGCAATAAGGAATTACCCGTACACTGTTTTCTATAGGTTTTAGTAGTGACTTTTCCACTATCCACATGTCCTGTTAATGTCAAATCCAGATAATCAATAGTGGTCGGATGGCAATTATATGTAAATTCCAAATTGAAACTATTATTATTCAAATATGCAACAAAATGTTTCTCAGAAACTGTACCAATCCAGACCAGAATTAGATCGTCAATAAAACGACTGTACCAGGCAATATGAGATCTATGTATGTTATTGTGAGAAAATAAAAATGTCTCCTCCCACCATCCCATATATAATTAGCTAATGAGAGGGAAAACTTAGCTCCCATCGATGCCCCTTGACATTGAATGTAATATTTCAAATCAAACAAAGAAATTGTGTTTAAGCAAAAATTCAATTGCCATACACAAAAATTCCCTTAATTGTATATTATAGGTACTATTACGTGTCAGGTGGTGTTCGATGGCTAGTACAGCTATACTGTACTACTATACCACATCTATAGTGAGCAAGTTATTATATTTTATCCACTAAATCTCATGTATATGAGCTACCAAATGGCCAGTGTCCCTCAAATAACCCGGTAACTAAGGGTTGAAGATGTTTATCAACCCATTCACTGAGCCTTTCCAGTAAAGATCCTATACCTGCCACTATAGGACGGCCCTGGATAGGGGTAAGTTGTTTGTGTATCTTTGGGAGATGGTGAAAAATTGTGGTGATCGGATTATCAACCATCAATAAGTCCATCATTTTTTTATCTAGAACGCCCATTTCTTTACCTGTGTCTAGTAGATGTCGCATTTTATCTTTTAAAAGGAGGGTAGGATTACTTTCAAGGACATAAGTGCTTGTGTCATTGAGCTGCCTTTAAAGCTTCTAATTTATAGCTATTAGTATCAAGAACCACCGCTGAACCTCCTTTATCTGCCTGACAAATAATAATATCCGTTCTTGCTTTTGATTTCTTAAGAGCTATGTATTCATCTTTATTTCAATTAAATTTACCATGATGGTTTGGTGATATCAGGGACTTCTTCAATTTGTTCAGTTCCACTTCTAAAATATGTTGGAATTAATCCATTGCCTCACTCTGAGCCTGAACAGGATAGAAATATCTATCTCCTGTAGCAGCAGTGCTGTTGTCAATACCACATTGACCTATACGATACTCAGACTGAAGGCTATCCAAAGTGGAAACCATGAACAAATGCTCAAACGAAAAAGATGATAGTACAGTGTCGTAAGACTACACAGTATGTGGTGTGTTATCTGTATCAATTTCGGTTTCTTTAAAATGTTTTCTTACTATAAGTATTCTCACAAACAGATTGATATCTAACCAAAACAGAAACGATACAAGTGCTGGATGGAAACAAAGAAGCGACTAGCATGAAAGGCGAACACCAGGAGCCTCCAAAGTACATATATCAAAAGAACATGCAGCGCTAATAAAATTCAGTAATACATGCATATAATCATACGGTGCATATAATTAAAAAATGGTATTGTGAACACCACTTGATAATAGAATCGATCTAAACATGTCTAAACGTCCAGGAATGGTGATAATGGTAAATAAATATCTCCAACAAGAGTGTTCTTGCAGTGCATAGTGCAAAATTTCAAGGCAAGGTGGTGAAAAAAATTAGTGACTTCTGTGACCATATTCCTCCCACAGAGATGAGTGTAGATTGCACTAACCAGAAAGCGCAATGGTAATGCGCATTTGAGTGTTAAGCAACTCCTGGTCATCCGCCTATTGAAACTGGATCACAGAGAGGGTCATCTGGCCTGCGTCAGCTGGGCAAATATCGCAACCTCAGGGTCTCCAGATATCAGGGGTATGCAATCGTCTCACCAGCAGGGGGAGTTTAACCATTCCTGATGTGGCCACCAGATCATCCCAAACAAGCCTTGAAGGAGGGGGGAGGGCTCGGAAGTAACAAGCCAGAACAACAGAAAGATCTGATAGTGTAGTACTTATCCACAGGGGTAAAATAAACAGAGTACTTAAATTTGGTACTCACATGCAGTAGTAAGCAGCTGGTGACAGGGAATTCCAAAATGGCCACCGGCCATCCACAGGGGCCGTGCGGTGTGACGTCACAGGATGTAAGGCACCTCCCTAAGAGACTGATATCTAACAAAGTAGAAAGGACATCAAATAGACACGTTGGAGCAAAGGATAGTCCTTTAGATGGGCTGTTATGTTATAGAAGTCTGAATTTTAGTTCTTTTTGATGTAAGCTTTGACAAAGGCTGTGGCCAAAACGCGCCAAATTTTATGTCCTCTACTGTGTGCCAATAAAGCATATATGAGTTGCTGGCTATTCTGTCACGTATCTTAAAACTATGTAATAGGAGGACACACCTGAACAATCTATTCTATTTCTATCAAATTCCACAGTTAGTATTGTAATGAGGGAGGTGTGGTCCAGAGTGGTGAACACACCCTATCACACCCTCTTCTGTGATGCAACAAGGAAGTGAAGGCTTCTGGGAAGTGGCCTACAAGAAGTGTATGCTAAGATACCATCTACAGGAAATGATGCAATCTGAAAATCCATTCAAAATCTCACAGAAACTGACAAAAAATGAAATGTCCTGTGGATGAGGTGAAGTGAGAGTGAGAGAAAAGCACATTGGGATGGCTGGGCCACAAATGGCGTTGGAAAACGCTTCTATTTATCATGAAAATTCTGATGGAAAAGGTGAACTTATCCTTTAAGTGTCTCAAAAATCCATATCTTTAGTGAAGTCCATAGATTCTTTGTAGACAAGAGATTGGTCAGTATATGGGCACTAAATGTGTTTCAGCAGTGCATTAGAGCCAATAAAGCTATCTCTAGCTAAATAAATGTGTCTGTTTATTGCAGACGATATGCCCACAGGCACAGCTGGGCGCAGAGCATCTAGTGAGTTCTTGATGTGTGGCGGGTAAGTTGTTATCTCCTTTATTCTTTTGTAAGGTAGTTGGAATATAATTTACCTGCAGTATTTTACTGAATAGTACAGAGAATATTTAATAAGTCACTGCAGCGTTTGCTTTGCTGTTATAAATCCACTCACATTTCCCAGGGCAGACCTTGAGCAGAGTGTATCCAATTCACAATGTATCTCGAGTCTTCAGTGATATGATGTTATATTACTATTTACTGTGCTCTGCAGACAGTGTACAAAATAGCCAAAGTGGCTTTAAACAATCCTATGCTTGTCTGCTTATATGCATTGCTTTGTCCAAACAATGATTATCTGAGTTATTGTTTTATATTGTGTTTTATTAAAGGAAACTTGCAGCAATAAAATATTTAGATGTGAAGTGCTCTCGTTTTTAAAATGCTGATTGTCTGGCTGTTTTGCTGAACCAAAGGAAGGAGGTCAGCAATGTCAGCTTCCACATTTCTATTAGTACAGGCTTTCTTTAAAGCCCAATTGCAGGAATATTAAAAAAAAAAAAGCGTTAATACCATTTAAACTTCATTATAGGAGTTTGTGGTGCAGTTTTAACATTTGGCAAACGCCTATCAACCGCCTCAAAACCACCCATAGGGCATTTTGGGAGCGTTTGCGGAGTGTTAAAAACGCTTCACAAATGCCTGTCTAATGCTTGTCAAATGCTATAGGGGCGTTTGGCAAGAATTACAAATAAAGTTAAGTGTAAACGAGCCGTAAGAAGGAGAAACTACTTCCTCCCTGTTTCAGCAGGGCCCCTTCAGCACTGCAACTGGTCCAATACAGCTGCCTCTGTAAGCTAATACCAACTACAGTCGCATTTCAGGCTCCTCAATATGCAATGGGGTTGATTTACTAAAGGCAAATAGGCTGTGCACTGAAAGTGCAGTTGCTCTAGATCTGAGAGGGGCCCTCTGTTTCGTCTTGTACCAAATTGTATTGTAACTGTAATGTCTACCTTCATTTTGTAAAGCGCTGCACAAACTGTTGGCGCAATATAAATCCTGTATAATAATAACATGCACGGAAAATAAAAAAACAGCATTTTTGCTTGCACATGATTGGATGAAAGACATCAGCAGAGCTTTGCCTCATTTCTGAGCTTCCCCTCATTTCTGAGCTTCCCCTCGAATTTAAAGCAACTGCACTCGGTGATCATCGGGGAAAGCTGACAGGGGAGAGACCTATGCGTAAACAACACGGGTCTCTCTCCTGTCAGCAAGGACATGCTGCTTTGTATTTCTCTGCATAGCAGAGAAATACAAAGCAGCATGTCTCCGTAGTGAAACACAATACAGCACATAATGTGAAACACACACAGCACTCAGTTAACCCTTTGATCGCCCCAGATGTTAACCCCTTCCTGCCCAGTGTCATTAGTACAGTGTCAGTGCTTTTTATTAGCACTGATCACTGTATTACCCCGTGTTCACATATATGCGGCCATGCGGGTCCCATTTTGCACAGGCACGAGAGCCCATTCATTTGAATGGACTCCCGTGCCCGTGACACGGAGGGGAGAAGTCCCTGCACTTCTTTGGAAAACTCAGCCCACACGGGAACCTTGGATCCTAGCACGGTTGCGTTTTCCAATGTGGGTAGTGTGCCATTAGAAGTAATGGCACCCGCCCGCAGGTCCACGTTCTTCTGTGCGGGTGGTGCGGCTGCACAGATGTGAACCTAGGGGTTAGTGTTACTGGGGATATCAATGGCAGTTAGTCCGTGCCCACCCAGTGTTAGAATGCCCACCACAGTCCCGCTGTAAGTTGCTTATCACCGTCATTACTAGTATAAAAAAAAATCCAGTAGATATCCCGCCATTTGTAGACGCTATAACTTTCATGTAAACCAATTAAGTTACATGTATTGGGATTTTTTTTTTACCAAAGACATGTAGCAGAATACATTTTGGCCTAAATTTATGACGAAATTTGATGTTTTAAAATGTTTTCATTGGATATGTTTTATAGCAAAAAGTCAAAAATATTGTTTTTTTTTTTTTTTTCCAAAATTGTAAGTCTTTTTTTGTTTATAGCGCAAAAAATAAAAATTACAGAGATAATCAAATACCACTGAAAGAAAGCTCTATTTGTGGGGAAAAAAGGTTATAAATTTCATTTATGTACAGCTTTGCATGGCCGCACAGTTGGCAGTTAAAGTAGCACCGCACCATATTGCAAAAAATGGCCTGGTCAGGAAGGGGGGTAAATCCTCTGGAGGGCAAGTGGTTAATTTGTATGCTGTGTACTTTACAGGCAGTCCCCTTTAAATACATCTGGAGGTTCTGGACAGACGCAAAAACCCTCTTCCACTTCACGCTGTAGCTCTTCAACTGTAGCATACAGGTATATTAAGCATGTGCTTTTGTGTTTTTAGCTCAGTTTTGCTCTAACATATGAACGCTATGAGCAGCAGACACTTTTGTACTATGACATCAAAGAGAATTCCATATTATATTGAAATACAATTTGTAAAACAGGCGGGATAGGCCAAGCAAGATTATGTTTGGATGTAATGCTTTTGTATGAAATGTAAAATATACCAATTTTGTTAATGTAGCATTGGTGGGACAAATTTTTTTGATCACTAAAGAATGAAGGCTCAGAAAAAGAGGGCAAACTACTTACAGGTTAGGTATGTTAAGATGAGACACCGTTTAAAATGTGGTGCAAACAGAATCTTATATTGATGTAAAGTATACAGATGTAATTTATTAAAATAAAATATTAGGTAGGCAGTCCGTATAATGTTTGTACTGGACGGTAGCACCGGTAGCTTAGCTTCGCTTGCTTTATGACAGAGTGAGCAGATTTGAAACATTACTTTACATGTATGGTTTAGTGATTTGTTTTAAGTATTTTACCACCATGTTAATATAAAGTTGCCCTTCAATGCAAACATTATACAGACTGGCCCAAATCAAGGTTCAAAATACATTTGACTACCTATATACACTAAATTGTCAAAGCATTGCAACACCCCTCCAAATCATTGGATCCAGTTCCAATCACCTCCATGGCCACAGGTGTATAAAATCAAGTACCTAGGCATGTAGACTGCTTCTAGAAACATTTGTGAAAAGAATGGGTCACTCTCAGAAGCTCAGTGAATTCAAGAGTGCTACCGGAATAGGTTGCTACCGGAATAGGTTGCCACCTGTGCAATAAGTTCATCCATGAAATTTCCTTGCAACTAAATATTCCACAGCCAACTGTTAGTTGTATTATAACAAAGTGGAAGCAACTGGGAACAACAGCAACTCAGCCATGAAGTGGTAGAACATGTAAAATGACAGAGCGGGACCAGCACATGCTGAAGCGCACAGTGCGCAGAAGTCACCAACTGACTGCAGAGTCAATAGCTAAAGACCTCCAAACTTCATGTGGTCTTCAGGTTAGCATAACAACAGTGTGTAGAGAGATTCATGGAATGGGTTTCCATGACCAAGCAGCTGCATCCAAGCCTTACATCACCAAGTGCAATGCAAAGCGTCGGATGCAGTGGAGACGTGTTCTCTGGAGTGATGAATTACACTTCTCTGTCTGGCAATCCGATGGATGTGTCTGGGTTTGGTGGTTGCCAGGAAAACGGTACTTGCTTGACTGCATTGTGCCAAGTGTAAAGTTTGGTGGAGGGGGGATTATGGTGTCGGATTGTTTTTCAGGGGTTGGGCTTGGTCCCTTAGTTACAGTGAAGGGAACTCTTAAGGCATCAGCATACCAAGACATTTTGTACAATTTCATGCTCCCAAATTTGTGAGAACAGTTTGGGGATGGGTCCAAACCAGTGCACAAAGTAAGGTCCATAAAGATATGGATGAGCGAGTTTGGGGTGGAGGAACTTGACTGGTCTGCACCTCAACCCGATAGAACACCTTTGAGATGAATTAGAGTGGAGACAGTGAGCCAGGCCTTCTCGTCTGAACATCAGTGCCTGACCTCACAAATGCGCCTCTGGAAGAATGGTCCCATAGACACACTCCTAAACCTTATGGACAGCTTTCCCAGAAGAGTTGAAGCTGTTAAAGCTGCAAAGGGTGGGCCAACTTAATATTGAACCCTACTGACTAAGACTGGGATGTCATTAAAGTTCATATGCTTGTAAAGGCAGGTGTCCAAATACTTTTAGCAATATAGTGTATATGGCAACTCATTGCTATGGGAAATGTAATCAATCATTTTTTTTACATGTACACGTAATAGAGATCAGCTTGCTATAATTGATGTGGTTAGTGTTTGACATTATTGGTTAAAACAAAATGTTTCTGCTTAAAAGTTTTGTATAATTGTAAATGCTTGTTTCCATCTTACATATGCAGGGTCTGCGGCCTGCTCTGCAGTGCTGCACAACGGTTGTTGTTATTGCTCCTTTTCACAGTGAAAGTGTATAAGTTTGTCTGTCTGTATTTCTGGGAGATTTCTTATCTCAGCAGTTTTTATGAAGAGAATCACGGTGAACCTAGATTGAGAGTTTGTTCACTCTAATGGCTAATCTAAAATACAGCTTTACTTAACCCTGTTGCTGAACTCAACATAATACTTACACCTGCGGCAATGTTGGCCTATAGATAGTCTATACCAGTGGTGGCGAACCTATGGGACGTGTGCTGCAGCGGGCATGCAGAGCCCTCTCTGTCGGCACACGAGCCAAGTCGCCCCAGCAGCTGAGCATTGGATAACAGCTCACATAGGGGCCATGTGCATGCTCGGAAAGGAGTAGCGGCGCCAGGCGATGTCAGGAGCCGTGACTCGTCCAAGCTTTCGCATGGCCGGTCATTGTGCTGCCAAGGATATATATATTGGACTGTCTGTGAGTTTTAATACATTTGTTTTTTTTAACACAAGATTTTAACTTGTGCTTGTGGTCAGTGGCTCTTTGCCCCCTTGTGCTGGTGGTCAGTGGCTCTTTGCCTCCCTGTGCTGGTGGTCAGTGGAACTTTGCCCCCCTTGTGCTGGTGGTCCGTGAAAGCTCTGTTATTGTGTTTTTCTTTTAAGACAAACTATGTTAATGTATGGTATTCAGGTTTAATTGCAGTGTTGGGACTTTGTGATAAATATGTGGGTTTTGAGTTGCAGTTTGTGCACTCTGTCTCTAAAAGGTTCGCCATCATTGGTGTATACTATAGCAGTCAGGAGTTTGTTTATCTTTTTACTGTCAGTTAAGTAGTAGAAGTGATTTGGGCAGCTGTAAAGTGATCTTCCATGCGCTGATCTTCCCTGTGAAGAATGAAACTGGGAGTTCTAAGCTCTAGACACTTTCAGGTTCAGATCTGTCAGTCTTTAGCCAGGGAAGAAGCTGATCCAGCACAATCTGTACTTGGTCAGCTTTAAAAAAGTACAGAGGTGACATTAGGGGGTTTATTTACTAAACCTGGTTGACTCAGAATCTTGTCCACTTCTGCATAAAAACCAATCGGCTTCCAGGTTTTATTGCTGAAGCTTAACTGAACATGCTGAGGTTAGAAGCTGATTGGCTACCATGCACAGGTGCCCAAGATTCTGAGTCAACCAGGTTTAGTAAATAAACCCCTAGGGGTCTAATGGACCCCTGATGTCTCATTAATCTTGTCCCGCTGGCTGTAAGCATATGTAAATATTTCTGTGTTAAGATTAAAAAAAAAAAGTGAATTTATATTTTTTTTTAAAGGTGAACTTATCCTTTAACTTTAAACTGATAAGTGGTGTCATATTCACTAGCTGTTTGGGACAGACATAAGGCACAGAAAAATCTTTATGAATTCCACATGCCTTTTAAACCTTTTATTCAATTTACCCTATCCCTGCACCTCTTCCACTGGTGGATAGACAAAGACCTGATGCAAATAGGAGACTTCTTATAGGGAAATGGTTTGCATTCTCTGGATTATTAGAAGCAAACTGTACATACCTTCTTAGGAACTGTTCAGATGAAACCAGCTTACCTCCTACCTTAGGGATAGACCTAGAAAGTTACCTGTCCTTTATCCTTGACACTATTTGAAAGCTTTTGCAAAACTAGGAACCTGGAGAAAGGCTGTATTTCAATTCTATACAGTTACTTAATAGATTTAAACCATAAGCTTTCCTATATGGAACACTAGTAGAGAGATCTTAATATCCAAAGGGACCTACCAGATTGGCACAACATTGAGATAATCCCTCTACGATTTCTATCAGTACAGCTCTGAGCTGTAATTGTTGTTTACATTTGCCTCATTTTTACCACATAAGGTTCTTATGAACATCACGCCATAACTGTTCATGAGGTTACCCAACTCCTTCTGAGTTGACAAGAAACATTTATGTATCATTTAGTGCCGTTTAGTCTAAGACATTGGTTTTAGTATAATTTTTTGGCTACTTCTGTCTGGATATCCCACTAATGTTATGGTGGTTATGTTTTCTGGCTTGAACTCTTGAACTATGAGTTCCTTCCTCAAAAATGTATTTGATAAACAGATTGAACTATAAACGGATAAGCTGTAAAGGCATTTAGAAGAGAAGTGTGGGTTTCAGGTTGTTTTCCAAATTCTTCTTACCTAGGTGGATGCAGCATCGGTCCTCCACCAGCTCTAAGGGTGAGAACTGCTGATCGCTGAGTTCTTACTGCTACTGTGAGCAGAGAGCGATGACTGTCAGTCACCGCTGTCTGCTCTGCCCCCCACCCCGTGCTCACTGGAGCGCTGGACTGTGGAGGGGGAGGGAGCAGCTGGCTCAGGCTCTAAGCGGCTCGCTGAGAGTCTGAGCCAGGTGCCACTCCAGACTTTAAAATTGTGAACTTTCCCCAGCCTTGACCGGTTGAGTAACATCAGCCGACAGTGGCCTTCAGCCGTTGTTGCTTAAAATGGGTTACAAGAGTGCAGAGCGAACTGCACTCCTGTGATCCACAGAAAAAGTGCAGCCAAAAGAGCTTAAAAAACCCTTGCTGGACCCCACCTACCTGAACAACTTAAGACCAATCTTCCTGCTCCTGTTTACCTCTGAACTCTTAGAGCGCTTAGTCTACAATAGCCTGAGCTCCTACCATACTGACAACAACCTTCTTGACCCTTTACAGTCTGGCTTTCGCTCACTATACTCCACTGAAACTGCCCTACTAAAACTCACTAATGATTTACTAACTGCTAAAACCAATGGCCACTACTCCGTACTCTTACTACTCGACCTCTCTGCGGCTTTTGACACTGTTGACCATCCCCCCCCTCCTCAAAAAAACTAGACTCTCTTGGCCTCTGAGACTCTGCTCTCTCCTGGTTGTCCTCTCACCTATTGCAACGCTCCTTCATCATTACCTATAATTCTGTATCCTCCTCTCCACTTCCTTTTTCTGTAGGGGTCCCTCAAGGTTCTGTCCTTGGACCCCCTTCTCTTCTCCATCTACACCTCCTCCCTTGGTCACTTCATAAACTCCCATGGCTTTAAGTACCATCTCTATGCTGATGACACACATCTATCTTTGTACTCCTCACCCCTTCAGTCTCCACTCGCATCATTAACCTACTAAGTGACATATTGGCATGGATGTCAATCCACTTCCTCAAACTAAATCTTTCCAGAATGGAGCTCATGCTATTCCCTCCAGCCCGTGCCCCCTCCCCTGACCTCTCCATCAAGATCAATAATACAACCATCAGTCCCTCCCCCATGCCAGGGTACTAGGTGTAATCCTGGACTCCCATCTGTCCTTTCAGCTCCAAATCCAATCACTGTCCAAATCTTGTAGATTTCACCTGCGCAACATCTCCAAGATACAACCGTTCCTAACCTCTGAAACCACTAAGCAACTTATTTACTCCCTTATCATTTTTCGCCTTGACTATTGGAACTCCTTCCTCATTGGCCTACCTAATCCCAGGATATCCCCTCTGTAGTCTATTATGAATGCTGGTGCCAGACTCCTCCACCTTACTAACCATTCCATATCTGCCATCTCTCTCTGCCCACTCCCTCCACTGGCTTCCCATTGCCCAACGAATAAAATTCAAAACATTAACAATAACATATAATGCCATTTAAAACTTTGCCCCAAATTACATCACCAATCTTGTCTCCAAATATCACCCAAACTGTCCTCTCCACTCCTCCCATGACCACCTGCTTTCTAGCTCACTTGTCTCCTCCTTCCATGCTCATCTCCAGGACGTCTTCAGAGCCTCCCCCATCCTCAGGAACTCTCTACCCCAATCTATCCGACTATCACCTACTCTGCCCACTTTTAGGCGATCTCTGAAAACCTATCTCTTCAGGGAAGCCTATCCCACCTTCAGCTAATAACTGGAATCTTCTCTCCTCCTGTCAGTTCATCCCCCACAGTTATTACCTTTTGTACCACCAGCCCCTCCCTCTTAGATTTTAAGCTCCAAAGAGCAGGGCCCCCTAACCCTCTTGTATTGAACTGTATTGTTGCTGTATTGTCTCCTTTTCTATTATAAAGTGCTGAGCAAACTGTTGGTGCTATATAAATCCTGTAAAATAATAATATAATCATGAATGGAGTATACTCCAAAGCAAATGTGCTTCTTACTTACCCTAGGTTCACACCTAAGCATTTTCCGCAGCATTTTGTAGAAATGCACTTCAGTCCATTTAACATGATTTCCCATGGGACACGTTCCCATCTCCGTGTTTTCACCCGGTGTGTTTTTTTCGAAAGAGTCAGGGACTTTTTTGAATGCAAAAACTTGCATTTTAGGTTATATAGACTTCAATGGAAATGCTGCAGAAAAGCATTTAGTGTGTTTTTAATGCATTTTGCGAAATGCATTAAAAATTAAAAACAAAAACAAAAACGCAGAAACGTGTCAAACGCAAACTGCATAGGTGTGAACCTATCCTTACACATGTTTGCATCAGTTGGTTTGGTGTGATACACATCACAAGTTGTATGGGACTACTTCATTCACATTTATGGACTCTAATACAGCTCCCCCCCCCCCTTCCCTATATTGTTACATTTCATACAGCCAAGAACCAAGGTTTGTGTGAGTTCAGGAGAAGACTGTGAAGGCAGCTGCCCCTCTATAAAGAACCACTGCAGCCAAGGCATGATTGACCTTCATCAGGACAAGTTCTCAGAAGCAAAGTGCACCAATTCTTTTCCTAACTGGCTTTCTCAGTGTTTCTCCTACAGCATGTTATCACTAACTAATAATGACCTCTTTTCTGCAAGGGCTATAAAAATTGAAATTCCCTATGACTTATTGTCTTGTTACCAAAACAAGCCCATAATTTCTCTAAATAGAGATAAAGAGACATTTCTAGTGAAATCCTGACGTTATGAGCTGTTCACCAAGTACTTAGTATTGTGGTAGTAAAATGACATAATGTGCTTGTAGATGTAACGTGCTGCGCACGGCGGAGTTCATGTAAGCAGAGCAGCTTGTTTGAACTCCACTTGTACTTCCTGTTCTGAGTACATCTGACTTTCCTAGAATTGCTTTGTTTTCAACTGCAGTTTGTGGAGGAGGCTAACGTGGAGGAGGGACTTGGTCCTGCTGATTTACAGGCTTAGTGTATGAAGGCTCAGATTCTTTGCTTGTATGCCACTGAAAAGGCACAACGGGGAACGGACTTAGTAACCTAGAAGAGGAACAATGGAACTTTAGTCTGTTATTTCTGACAGCGGAGAACATTTTGTACTTGTTTTGTTTCCTAGCTGCATAATGGTTCAGATAACCCAGAGACTAGTACACAGAGATTTATTCCCTCTGTCCTTGCTTTTTGACTTCAGGCAGAGCCAGCCTCAGGTGTCACCACGCAGCGAGACTGCGCCTATCCCTGTCCCAACCCAACTACGGAACTACCAACGCATTGAGCAGAATCTCTCATCTACTGCTAGTCCTACATCTAATCCTCATGGCTCCCCCAGGTATGTCCCTGGAAGAGTTGTTACTCTTATAACAATAGTAATATAGTTACCAGTAAAACCATTGTGTATTTTATCTTAATATCCTAGTTTTGTATAACATTTGGCATTTACATGTTCCTTTCGGTGGAATGTCACATGATTACCCTTTTTTGTTAGAAATATTCACTGATTTATATGGCCTTCCTAACCCTCTTGTATTGAACTGTATTGTTGCTGTATTGTCTCCTGTTATATTGTAAAGTGCTGTGCAAACTGTTGGCTCTATACTAATCCTGTATAATAATAATATTAATAATGTACAATGCTTGCAGTACCCCTAGGATACAAGTCATGCTACACATGTGTACTGGAACTGTTCACCTTTCATCTATTTGCAAAGTAACATGCTACACACTGTGCAAAAGACACACAGTTGCAGCATATGAGGGCCTTGTACAATGGCACACATATGATCAGATTTCATTTGCAGTTCAGTACTTAGCAGTATAGTATAGTAAAGTGGAAAAAGTCTACACATTTTTTTCCACAGTCCTGGATAAGTTGGAAAAAGAACAGTTGTCAGGTTTCCATTGCTGTCTGTGACTTCTGTCAGGCATCTATTGCTGTCTATGACCTCTATCGGGTATCTATTGCTCTCTCTCTAAAGTGTTTCCCCTCACTTCCTATGTGCTCATTAGAACAGAAATTGAGGGGAATTTACTGAGCAGAGACACAAGACTGCAAAATAAAGACCTGACAAAGTATAACACTGACAGGTTTTGAATGAAGTTCCACTTTAAAATGAATCCTAGTTAAAGCTGAACACCAGTTATGATCTTTTTTGCATAGTTACGTTGGTTCAACTTGGACCAATGTAAGTATTCAGATTTCATGGGACCACTGTAGATGCTGATAATCACTGTAGCAGTCAGGTCAGTTACAGTGGCTTAGTGGTAACACTTCTGCCTAGCAACACTAGGGTTTGTTGGTTCAAATCCTAACCATGGCACTACCTGCCTGGAGTCTGCATGTTCTCCCTGTGCCTGCATGGGTTTCCTGCGGGTACTCCCACACTCCAAAGACATGCCGGTAGATTAACTGGCTTCTGTCTAAATTGGCCCTAGTATGTCTATGTGTGAACATGGGTTAGGGACCTTAGATTGTGAGCTCCTTGAGGGCTAGGGACTCATGTGAATCTACAATATATATATAAGTAAAGAGTGATGTGAAAGTGGAAAAACCAAATATTCCTGCGCTTAGAGATGGACTCTGTCATAGGGATCACACAATGAGTGTCTTGGAATATGCACGCCTTGCTGCCCTCAAAGAAGCGGGGACTCCAAAGGTACTTAATCGAGGAAAACAAAACAGAGGGCGCATCGGCCTTGTGCATTACCTTTAAAAGTATGTTTATTAAATTTAAAAGAAGGTATTCTACTCACAAAAATACATGAATATAAGCACATCATATGAGATCGCTATGTCGAATTCGCACTGCGTTCCTGAATGGTGATGAGAATGATGGACATCCAAAATGGCTGAAACTTTTCGATCCTCTTCGAGCTTTTAAATTTAATAAACATACTTTTAAAGGTAATGCACAAGGCCGGTGCGCCCTCTGTTTTTTGTTTTTCTCTATATATACAGTCATGGCCGAAATTGTTGGCACCCTTGATATTTCTCCAGCAAATCATGTATTTCTCACGAAACGTATTGCATTAACACATGTTTTGCTATACACATGTTTATTCCCTTTGTGTGTATTGGGACAAAACAAAAAAAGGGAGGAAAGAAAGCAAATTCGACATAATGTCACACAAACCTCCAAAAATGGGCTGGACAAAAGTATTGGCACCCTTTCACAACTGCGGATAAATAAGAATGTTACAAGCATGTGATGCTCCTGTAAACTCACCTGGGGCAAGTAACAGGTGTGGGCAATATAGAAATCACACCTGAAAGCAGATAAAAAGGAGAGACGTTCACTTAACCTTTGCATTGTGTGTCTGTCTGTGCCACACTAAGCATGGACAACAGAAAGAGGAGACGAGAACTGTCTGAGGACCTGAGAACCAAAATTGTGGCAAAATATCAACAATCTCAAGGTTACAAGTCCATCTCCAGAGAACTAGATTTGCCTTTGTCCACAGTGCGCAACATTATCAAGAAGTTTGCAACCCATGGCACTGTAGCTAATCTCCCTGGTCGTGGACGGATGAGGAAAATTGATGAAAGATTGCAACGCAGAATAGTCCGGATGGTGGATAAGCAGCCCCAAACATGTTCCAAAGACATTCAAGCTGTCCTGCAGGCTCAGGGAGCATCAGTGTCAGCGCGAACTATCCGTCGACATTTAAATGAAATGAAACGCTATGGCAGGAGACCCAGGAGGACCCCACTGCTGACACAGAGACATAAAAAAGCAAGACTACAGTTTGCCAAAATGTACTTGAGTAAGCCAAAAGCCTTCTGGGAAAACGTCTTGTGGACAGATGAGACCAAGATAGAGCTTTTCGGTAAAGCACATCATTCTACTGTTTACCGAAAACGGAATGAGGCCTACAAAGAACAAAACACAGTACCTACGGTAAAATATGGTGGAGGTTCAATGATGTTTTGGGGTTGTTTTGCTGCCTCTGGCACTGGGTGCCTTGACTGTGTGCAAGGCATCATGAAATCTGAGGATTACCAAAGGATTTTGGGTCGCACTGTAGGGCCCAGTGTCAGAAAGCTGGGTTTGCGTCCAAGATCCTGGGTCTTCCAGCAGGACAATGACCCCAAACATACGTCAAAAAGCACTCAGAAATGGATGGCAAAGAAGCGCTGGAGAGTTCTGAAGTGGCCAGCAATGAGCCCAGATCTAAATCCCATTGAACACCTGTGGAGAGATCTTAAAATTGCTGTTGGGAAAAGGTGTCCTTCCAATAAGAGAGACCTGGAGCTGTTTGCAAAGGAAGAGTGGTCCAAAATTCCGGGTGAGAGGTGTCAGAAGCTTATTGATGGTTATAGGAAGCGACTGATTTCAGTTATGTTTTCCAAAGGGTGTGCAACCAAATATTAAGTTAAGGGTGCCAATACTTTTGTCCAGCCCATTTTTGGGGTTTTGTGTGACATTATGTCATATTTGCTTTTCTGCCTCTGTTTTATATTTGTTCCAATACATACAAAGGGAATAAACATGTGTATAGCAAAACATGTGTTAATGCAATACCTTTTTTGTGTGAAATACTTGATTTTCAGGAAAAATATCAAGGGTGCCAACAATTTCGGCCATGACTGTAAGTAAAGTGCTGTGTAAATTGGCAGCCCTGTATAAGTACCTGTAATAAATAATAAATCTCATACTTGCATTAGTCCAAGCTGGACCAATGTAAGTATGCAATTAAGATCATACCAGGAGGTCAGCTTTAATGCAGTTGTGTGAAAAAGCTGTCCTTATAGTATGCAAGTAGTCTTTATGTACAATTCTCTATAAATATTATGTTCTCCCTACTAAAATGTACCTAGCATACTTGTCCTGGTTGAGTTTACTTATATTTATTCCCGCCTTTTTATATTTCATTTAAAACAAAATGCACAGTAGTCCCTATGCTTCAAATGCATTGATGGTAGATTGTTGAGGATTAGAATGATGGCACTTAACTGAAATGTTTACTAATTAATTACCAAGTTTGTTGCTGCTGTGATTTTGTTTATGTAAAGCTGTGAATGTTTAAAGCCTTCATTTAGCATTATATGTTACCGAACAAAAAAAAATATTATACGTTTTTTTTTTTTTTCTCTTCTACAGCAGATCTGGTGCAGTGAGGCGCTCAAATACCAGCCCCATGGGCTTTCTCAAAGTTGGCTCTGGGTCTCCCAGCTCCACAGACGTGGTGCAAGCTATCGGACGCCGCTTGTCTACCGGCTCTTCAAGACCTTATTCTCCATCACCATTAGGTAAGTGCTAAAAGTCACATTTCCAAAATGGAAATGGTAGTGGTAACAGTTTCCAGAGAGATTATTATTGAAATATATACTCAATAGTATTTGCAAGCTCTTCTCTAACTCCCTTTGCCTTAAAGGCTAAGTTCACCTTTTCCGGAAAATAGCCTATGCAGTCAAGGGGCTCTGATGGGTATAAAAAAAACTGTACAGCTTTGTATAATCATACCTATAGGCCATCTGGCTCCACCTGTGAAAGCCTGTCCAAGATATTAACCTCCACATCATGTCTTCTTGCTAGCACATGAATACCATTGGATGCATTCTCCCAGCATTGCAGTGAAAACCGTTTTCATGTCCTAGCAACGACTTAGGATGTGGGGGTTGCTAACTGGAAGATTTTTGGACAAACCTATGAGGGGGACCCAAATGACCTACAGGTATGACAATAATAATACTGAACATTTTACAAAGCTGCACAATTTTTTAATATCTACTGGGGCCCATTGACTGCATAGGCTGTTTTCTGGAGAAGGTTAATTTAACCCTTTAAGAGTATGGTTTACCTTGCCAGCTTTCTCCATACTTTGCATCAAAAAAGATTCAGATAGTGTTGTTCTGTGATCCCATTTGCTTGCTGTCTGTATACAGTCATTCTCACTATTTGTAAAGGAAAAAAAATGCATATGTTTGCCTCATGGAAGATTCTTTCTAAGTCAATATTAAAGTCCAACTCTGAGAACTTGAAACTTCCCCCTTGCAAAAGTGGTGTTGTTCCTTCGGTCCTAGAGGGCATAGAAAGAAGATTTAGACATCTGATTCTCTGCTACTTTGCACTGCTGGACTGGCCCCTGCAGTGTCTTCTCCACATACTCCAGCGGACTACAGTTCCAACGTCATCAAGATGGATGCAGCGGTCCCATAGCTTTGCAATGGACGTGATGATGCCGTGGGACAGTCCCCTGCCAGAGCATGAGGAAGTGCAGCCTGCTGGGTGAGTGGAGAATCAGCTAAGTAAAAGTGTTTTTACTCTCAATTAAATAATGAGCAGTCAACCCTTGCCGTGCAGGAGCAGTCCTACTGCAAGAGAGACGTTTGAAGTTTCTCAGAGCTATAAAAATGTAAAAAAAGGCAGAATCTGTGGAAGCATTGATCATGTGCATGTATTGGTCTTAATATTGTTCATACACATATGCATGTTTAGAAAAATATTCTAAAGTATGGTAGCATTGGGTCTTATTCCTTTATTATCTTGATCTTGTATAGTTGGAACCATCCCAGAGCAACTAGGCCACTGTTGTTGTGGCCACCCTCAAGGGCATGAGTCCAGAAGCCGAAGTTCTTCAGGAGGTAGGTGTTTGGTTTACTCATTTTGCTTTTTAATAAATGAGATTTAAACCACTCAGCCAGCTGGCCTAGAGGTTTAGGACTGCCAAAAAATTGACACCCAAACAACAACAGTAGTTCAGCAAAGCTTTGCTTTATTTCATACAAGCAGTATTGTAAATCCATTATGAAAAAAAAAAAAAAAACAAAAATACAGCGCTGTGAATAGTACACCAGGTTGAACAGATGCTCGTGTCTCATAAAAAAAAACGGTTCAATGCAATCTGTCTGTTTGGGAGATATGTTGCTAAGTAAAGAGCCTGACCTTTATCAAGCAATAAAACCGTCATTGTGGGGAAAAACGTGTTGTGACAATGTGAACTGAACTAAATGTGAATCATTCTGCCAGCCATCTAAACTGAGGCAAGGTGAATTAAGGCTAGCTACCAAAGCAAACCTTTGTCGGTAGTAAGGTTACAGCTTCACCCAAACAGACCTGTGATTGTGATCAGGTGACGTGAGGCTAATGACACAATGTTGATATGAACGGGTGTAAACAATGTGAACAGTAACATTTATTAGATATCACTTACACATATACAGTCTTCATTTTAATAATTAACACTGTATAAAATTCTGCTCATTCACAGGGTCATTTATAAAGATTTTGAGATCTTGGTAAATGTTTTATTTTGCTTTATTTGATATGCTAATGTAAATGAATGCTTTGAAGTACACTGTTTTTTTTTGTTATTACTGCAAGAAGAAATGGGAATGAACTAATGTTCTCCAGGCTTTGTTAAAATGACGTGTGCAGCACGCTAGAGATCTGGACCATGGCTCAACACAGAATGGAGCAGTCTGGATCTCCAGCAGTACAGCACACCCCATTTCATGGTGCTCCGCTCAACAAAACTACTTGGGGCAGGGTGCATGAGTGCTGTGTTCTGGCTGTGGCTTTGAGGCTTGCAATATAAACTTTTCTTTACACTATGTTTGTTCTTTGTTCAGGGTCCCCAGTGCCACAGTCACAGTCCCCACAGTCTTTGTTAGGTGCAAGACTGCAAAGTGCACCAACTCTCACTGACATCTACCAGAACAAGCAGAAACTACGAAAGCAGCACTCAGATCCTGTATGTCCTTCCTATGCTGGGCATGGCTTTAGCCATTCACCACAGCCAGCGCGGCCTGTCAGTCTTGGTGCTTCTCCCACAAAGCACATGGGATCTTCTCCTAGGAGCTCAGAATGGCTGTATAAAACCCCACTGCCTACCATCATTGGATCTCCAACCAAGGTTTGTTCTGAATGCATATGTATCATTGTAGTCTTTTCTGTGGCACTTTAACCCCTTAATGTCCACCAATACTAGTTCTGTATCCTGACTGGCTATGCCTTCCAGGATCAGGATGTAGATAGATTCCATTGACTTTGCTATGCCTTCCAGGATCAGGATGTAGATAGATACTGACTTTGCTATGCCTTCCAGGATCAGGATGTAGATAGATTCCATTGACTTTGCTTTTTTGCACCTGCTCACTCATCAACATTTGTGGATGTACACATGTTCCTTTTTATGCAGTCTGTGCAGAAGTGTGGCTGTGTAGGTGCACATTGGCATGCACTGTACCTTTTGTACACTTGGCTGTGACCAGGTCGTTATTAACTGCCATGGTCACAGATATGAGGATTGGAACAAAACACATTGACTTGGAGCTGCTGATCACTGCAATTCAGGAAAGACCACTTGACAAAGTGCTACTTTGTCTTAAAATTTCTCTTTCTGTTCCTTATGACCAACGAGAAATGAGAGATGGGGTGCCATATAGTCCCTAAGCACTTTGTAGCTTATACAAAAAGAAATTAGTAGTCTTCCAAACTAGGAGTACTCCAGTTACTAAGTACAAACCGCCAACACTCATGAAGCCGCAGGAAACACAAGCTACAAGTTAAATATGAATAAAGACAAAACTTGTTTATTTTTAGATTTGGATAAAGCTGTGAGTGACCACTGTAAGTTTTTTTTTTTTTTTTTTTTTTTTGCGGTTTGTTGTATTGCTATGATCATTTTCTGTCTAAGTGGTCCCGATCACCAGTGTCACAGGGAATTAATGTAAATCTACAATTTTGAGTTGCCCCCAGAACAGGCTACCATTGCTGACCCTCTTACATATGAATAAGTTCACCTTTTGTAACAGATTACATGTTACAGTTGTATTCAGGGTGTAACGTGGTACTGTTGCAAGAGTCCATACACCCCCCCATCCCCCGTTGTGAAAGCAGGCCAGGGATCCTATCCCACACCCACTGTCACAATTTTTCAAAAACGCGGCAATGTGGGGCTCCATCCACCTGGGCTGCATCATTCATTCACAGAGTTTTGTGAAAGGGAAAACTACAACTACCGACTGCCTGTGCAGCTAAAGGATTGTAGTTCTCCATGAACTACCATGGCACTGTTGATCACTCTAGGTAGTTCATTTATGCTTCCTGTCATTCAGTAACTGCCCGCCTGTATGAGGTACGAGCAGACAGATACACTGACAGTGTGCAGTGTGCTTTGCATGCTCCTAGTAAAATAAAATAACACATGCACATTTTTTTTAGCTGCAAAAAGATGTGCAGGTATATTTTTTCTTTTTACATATGTGAACTTATCCTTTAAGTCAATGATTACGAGCGTTCATGCAGATAGACGTTTGGTATTTCCTTATCTGCATAGCTCTTCAACATAAAATACAGTGGGTAAGGTTAACAGCCAGACACCTTGCACTAGGTTAGCAATGGCAGTCCCAGTACTTCATTCATTTTATTATAACACAGAACAGGGGTTAAATTCTCTGTCAGACATTTATTAGTGTATGTGGTTACTGTAGTAAGATTTTCTCTCCCTCCAGATAACCGCCTCAGGCTCAGCCGTGTTCCTCATTAAACAAGAACTCACAATTGTGCTTTACCCTTTAAAAAATGTTATTGCACATTAAAACATAAGAAATGCACTCATGTTCCGTAGGTCTATATCTGCAACATGTATGATGAACATCCAGTAATGTACTAATTAGGCACAAGATGGCAGTTACATCCCCAGCAGTACAGAAATAGTCCAGGCTCCAAAACGTCACTATCCGAAATATATTGCAAGACAATGCACGGGCCCTATATATATCTGCAATTACCTGCAGATATGACAATCCTGGAGTGATGTGTGGATAACTACTACTGCTATTCCAATGTATGGCAACATCGTAACGTCATCCGCACGCTCCTCCCCGATGCGTTTTGTCACAGACTACGTGACTTTATCAAGGGGATCCAAGATAAAGCACTCTTGTGAGTTTTTGTTTAATGAGGAACACGGCTGAGCCTGAAGCGGTTATCTAGAGGGAGTATCCTTTGGAGCTATTTATCAGCTATTTGATCTTCATACATTTGGGACCAAAAGTGCAGTCAGACCAAAACATTGTATAATGTGAGGTCACGCTGCTGGAGGTGAGCAGATATATGGTGGATGATGTTTTGCATTGAAATTCTGTGATAGATACACACGGTGGTCGTTATCCCAAGGAGGGGTCACGGGAGAACACACAAACTATTGGACTGTGATATATATATTTTTTGGATTATTTATTTTTTTGGTGTCACAAATTTAGTTTTTTGCTGTCACCATTCTATGCATATATATTTTAGATGTTTGTGCATTTTTATATGTAGCACAGCAATTTTTTAATCATTATTTAGCCCACTGAGACATGGGTTGTGTGCACTAGGGGCTACAGTATTCATATATATGTTTTGTATTCACCATCGTAAACGCATGCGTTTATTCACATTTTAAGATTTTTCTCTCACTTCCTATTGTGCTTCCTGTTGTGCTGTCATCAGTTACCTGAACTTGAAGTGAGAGGAAAGTTTCTAAAACAGGGCTACAGACAACATTAAAATATAACAGTAGTTTTAACTTTACTCTGCACTATCCAGAACCACCTAGCTGCAGTTCTAGTCTAACTACTTAGCTGATGTGCATCACTATAGTAATAAAATATTCACAAATGCAGCACAGCAGTCACCAGTGCCAGTGGGTGAATTGCTGTTTGGTCTTGTAGATTCATACCATAACTCCTAGTATCTTTGCGTTTAATAACATAATTTGTACAGCAGTGGCCTGCTGCCAACATGCCTATTTGTAGCTATACCCAGATGGCGGTGTATTATATAGAAAACCCCTGTAAATCTCATTTTTAATGGTATTGCTTTTTCCAGACAACTGCTCCATTCAAGATCCCTAAAACACAAGCTTCATCCAATCTGCTTGCTCTAGCTAATCGCCAGGGACCTGCAGATGCTTCTGCACAGGCCAAAGAAGACTTGTGTGATCCAAGGGATTTCTCTCCTTTCCTTTGTTCGCATGGCAATGAGAAATCCAGCACTGCAGAACATGGAAAAGCTACTTTTGGAAGGTGAGTTTCCTTGTTTATCTCTCCATGTATGATTTTTACTGTATGACCTTGATAGGTATTTTCTGTCCTAAATAACTAAATATGAATTTATAAGGGCACATGTATGAACTGATGTGGCTTTCTTTATATAGGACCTTCTTTAAAAACCTGTTCATGGGGCAACTTATGGCAATTATTCACATTCATATATCCATTTTTAGCTTTGTTTTCTAGCACTATTTTTCATCGCACTGGTTTCTGAGTTTTCAGACTCCGTTCTTCCTCAGTACTTAATATTAACAATAAAGTGCAGCGCAATCAATAGCATAAGAGATACTAAATAGGTTTAATAAAATATCTCATTTAAATCAAAATAAAAGAATACTACTAAAAAAAAAACACACACACAGGTGGCAACAAAGTCCATATAAGATCCACATAAGCAGGCAGAAGCTGGTGCTTGAAAGAGAGAGCCTGATCCAAAGAGGAGACAGTCACCTTCCACCCAATAAGAAAGCCTCTTACCAGAAAATTTCACCACCCGAAGGACCGGTTAAATAACGCAACAAATTGGCCCAACTGGTGTGACACAAACTGAATGAAGGCTCCTCCTGCTGATTCAGTAAGCAGTGCTCCAAATCACAGGATCTCTAGGTGGCAAACCTCCCATCGGGTAACAAAACACCATATAGAGAAGAGATGCCGATTCATAGTGTAGTAAATGGCTCAACCAAGAAATTTATTTAAAATTGCGTTGGCACAAACTTCAGTAAAAACTAGTATGTCAAATAAGTCGTTTCAAACCGACAAGATGGCCGCTGTCCTTCCGGAGCATGATGATGTCACATGGCGTGACTCCACCCTATGCGTTTCATTATCTGAAAGAGGTCATCAGGGGGCTTCCTCAGTACCTGCTGTTGCAGCACCAATGCATTCCAGCCCCTGTTGTGCCACTTTTCTAAATGCGGCCTCTACTGTATCTTATTCCAAAATCATATTTAATAAGTCCATGCTAGTCTAAAATGCCCTAGAAAGCTTTAGGCCTCATGCACACTCAAACACACTCAAACAAGTGTTTGCTCAGCTCCTCTGAACGCTTCTTCTCCTGGCAGGAAAAAAATTGCCTAAAACGCAGTAAAACGTGTGCATTTATGCACATTAATGCATTTGTTGGCCAGAATATTACTGTATGTAGCGTTTTGGCACGTTCCATGTTTTTTTGCCCAAAAGCTCCTCTTCTAAATGCTTCTGGTGGGGTTTTTTTTTTCTGCTTGTAAACACTCCTGTTCTAATATGCCTGTAAAGTCCTATGTGTGCATGGACATGTAGGCTTCCATAAATTTGTGTTTACAAAAAAGGCCAAACGCCTTAGTCAAAATCTATTTTGCTCAGTAAAGCTGAATTCTAGCTGGCTATAGAAAAACCCAATGCCCATGTATTTGTGTATTCCTTTACATATAATGAAATACATTTTAATATATAACTAGCAAAAGTACCAAAATTTTGATATCGGCCTGTTGTCACCTCTTGCACAGCAGCACTAGTACCTGATCTATTGCATCTCTGCTGACAGAGAGAACATGGTGACAGGAGGAGAGAGCAAAGTAATATGTGTCAGTGTCTATGGGCTTTGAAAGGCAAATGCAGTTTGCTTTTGACATCAAATTTGAGATGTTGCTGGGATCATTCAGAATTAATTGCAGGGGGAGTTGTCCTGGACTTGGCATGCTTCCGCTGCATGGGAAGAGAAGAAAGTCTGATGCAAACCAAAGCCCATCAGCCAATCACCACTTTATTTGGTAACTTTAACAGAGAAACTGATGTCACCCTCCTAGCTGTTCTGTCTGTGCACACAATCACAAGAGTGGAAGGTCAAAATTCGAAATTCTTCGGAAGATAAAGACCAATCACACATGTGGATTCTTCAATATTAGCACATTTGTTGATTGACCATTATGTGCTTGGAGCATCATAGGTATATTATTTGGGAGGATAGAAATCTAGAGATGTGACAGTAAATCAGATTGTATCTGTTTATCTAGTACAGATTAGTCTAATATAGCATTTTTTAGCATTTTGATACTTTTGTCATACACATCTGCTGCCATCTATTGGACATTTAGAGTAATAGAAATGTGTTCCGTTCTGTGAAGAAATGAGCAACTAGTCAAAACATTTAAGTTCTGCATAGAGTGGAGAAGAGTTAGAACCTCTGTCTGATTTTTATTGCTGTGCCCCCACTTTGAAATTTTCTTTCATTTCCTAGACCAGTGTATCTAGAATGGGAAACTAGGGAAATTATTATTATATAGTGTTTATATAGCGCCAATATCCTTGGCCACTTTGTTTACATTTTCGCTTTCGGCTAGCAAATCTCCAAGCCGACAACTGAGTGGGGCAGGGGATAGAACACTGTGTAAGAAGCTTTTATGACCGCTGTCCAGGACAGACTTGTCCTACTCTGAGCACTGGCATTTCTCTGTATGTAAACTCCAAGCTGCTTTTAATTACCATTCGTTTCCTAATTTGCATACTGGTGGTAATCCTTTAGGGCCGGTTTACACCTGAATGCGGTGTGGGAAACCCGTGTTATGTGCGCGTTTCCTGCACTACGTTCTAAACACACTGCACTTGCAATCTGCAGAGGGTGTCAATGCAATGCAAACGACACACCTAATGCAGGTCGATTGTACAGAAGTACCATGCTATCGGGTTGCGCAGCGCTTTGTAAAGTAGCACATGCACTACTTTTGTTGCAGTTCAGCGCAATTTCAGCCCATTCAAACAATTGGGCTGAAATCGCACTGTACCTGGATCGCATGTAAATTACACAGGAGCACCCAGCGCGTTCCTTGAAGATTCATGGTGTGAACCAGCCCTCAATCTGTTGCAGCCATATCAATGGATTCATGAAGTAGTAGTAGTAAGAACTAATGCTTCATTCAACTCCGCAGACTGGGTTTTGGCAATTTTACTTCATGAGGATGGTGCTATCCCTCTCTGATTCAGTAGCTGATACATTGCAAGCACTTTAATGGCTGTATACAGTGCCATAAGAGAGAGCAAATGTTCCTTTATTTAGAGTCCCTGCATTATACTACCTCTGATAAATATATCTTTTAACAGGTCTGTGAGCGCTGGAAAGTTGTCAGACCAGACAGGAAAAGCTACTCTGGGAGGACAGCATTACCAAGGAAGCACAGACAGCCTGAACTCTGAGCGTCCAATGGACACAGGTACTAGTCCATTTAAGTGTGCTTGTGTTATGTTATTACCTTGTTCTTTTTATAGGTGTGTCTATATGTTTTCATAAAAAAGGCCATATTTGCTCAGTGCATAGTCCTGCCATTCTTTTTCTGTCTCTGGGCAAAACAAATAAATCCTTATACCTAATTGTAAGATCACGAATACAAGTAAACCAATCAGCGATAAAATGATGTAGATATTGGTCATTCAATAACGTGTTATGTTGTAAGTGCTTCTGGTTTAAGGGAAATATTTAATATTCTCTAAATGTTTCAAGTCCCTTCAGGTGGTACAGGAAGTGTCCTGACTGTGCCCTGTGCCAGCACAAGAGCAGTGATGTTTACCGTTGGATCGCCTCCTAACAGTGCTACCCCTCCAACTTGTACACATATAATGATGAGGAAGAGGACCACTTCAGGCAAGTCCTGTATGATTTCCTATAACTGTGTAAGCAGTCAGTTTCCTTTGTGCTGTGTGACAGCTTTCCTCCATTACAACATCACACTAGAACAATTCACAAAACTATTAAACATGCATTATTTGCCATAATCATCACTGTTAGAACAAAATGTGTCTCATACTTGCTCATGCAAAATACAGAATGTCGTTATAATGGGAATCGTGGCTTTACTCACAGCAAATCCCTATTTTAGCATGGAGCAGTTTCCACGTTGCCCCAGCACTTCATATCTTATTTCATTACAGGTATTTATACATCCCAACAATTTACACAGAGCTGTACGTATATTGTACATTCACATCAGTCCCAGCCCCCAAGAAGCTTATAGTCTAAGGTCTCCATTTCAGAAAAATAGTTTGTTTAAATTTTAAGTGCTATGATAAATCTATTTTACATTATTTAACCACTTGCCGCCCAGCCTATGGTCAAATGGAGGCTGGGCGAACACTTTGTCCCTCCGGGAGTGCGTCATATGACGTCCTTCCCAGAACACGCCTTGCACGTGCCCACAGGGCCACGCTGTTGCAAGATCTGTCACCGGCCATGTACCTACAGACAATGGCGATGACAGATCTGTGTACTGGCCCCATTGCCAGTACCATGTGACCTGCTGTGTCCAATCACAGCAGGTCACATGACAGTTGTATACAATGGATGGCTTCCTTTCATGCCATCCATTGTATACAAGTGTGTCTAGCTGTGAATGGTCACAGCGATCACGTGCACAGGCTGGGCCAATCACAGCCCATCTGTGTCATGTGATTAGCCATAGCTAATCACAAAAAAAAACCCTGAATTAATCAATTTCATTCCGTTAAATGCTTGCTTATTGCAAAAAAAGTATTTGCTATAATCAAATTGTGTAAAAAAAAATAAAAAAAAAAAAAAAAAAAATATATATATATATATTGATCACTTCCTCAAAGTAGTACAATGTTACTATGGTAACATTGTACTGCTTTGGTCATAGTGCAATATGAAAAACAAATCTTAAAGGAGAAAACAATTTAATATAAAATAAGAATAAAAAAAGTATTATTTTTTTTTTTTCATACTGTCCCCAGTCAGTGTCCCTGATCACCACCACACCAGTTATATGATGACTCTGTAGTGCACTGGTGACAGTATGTAAAAAAAAATTGAGAAAATTAAATTTTTTCATTTCTTCATTTTTCAAAAAAGTATGACAAAAAAAATTATAACTTCAAAAAACTCGCCATGCCTCTTATGAAATATGTCGGACTGTCTACTTTGCAAAAAGCGGTTATTTGGAGGATATCTGTACTGTTCTGACATTTTTGGGCCTCAAGAAATTAGATTGGCTATCAGTACTTCAGGATTGATCAATTTTCAGATCTATACCATAGTTTGTGAACTCTATAACTTTCCTACAGACTAAATAATAAATACTGATTTGGGTTATTTTCACCAAAGACATGTAGCAGAATACATCTTGGCCTAAATTTATGAAGAACAATTATTTAGTTGCAAACTTTTATATAACAAACAAAGAAAACGTTTTTTTTTTTTTCCCTAATTTTTCGGTCTTTTTTTGTTAATTTAGCAAAAAATAAAAACCCCAGTGGTGATTAAATACCGCCAAAAGAAATCTCTAGTTGTGTGAACAAAATGATACAATTTTAGTTTGGGTGCAGTGTTGTATGACCGCACAATTGCCATTCAAAGTGTGAGAGAGCTGAAACCTGAAAATTGGCCTGAGCAGGAAGGGGGTAAAAGTGCCCGGTATGGAAGTGGTTAACACTACCAGTGCAATCAAATGAATCCATGTACCTTTCTCCTTACTTTAGAAGATTGTAATAAAAGTGTGTTTTGTAACTTGCAGTTGGCTCCAACAGTTCTGGAGGCTCTCTCTGCTCCACCAGTGGTCGTGTGCATATGGGATCTCCTTCTGGTATTCACATGGGTTCATCTCCTCCTGGAGCTGATGCAGCCCCAAGCATGAAATATATGTCCTATGGTACATCCCCTCCCAGCCTGGAAGATTTCATTACATTTGAAGCACCGGAACTACCTGAAGAAACTCTGATGGAGGTACCTTTTAATGAGATGTTGTCTCTCCTCCTTTTTACTTCTTTGTTGCAATTTGAGTTTAGAATTTTGTCTTCGTTCTTTTGATCCATTAGGCCTGGTTCACACCTATGCGTTTTTAAGTGCATTTTGCTTTTTGAAGAAATGCACTACAGTCCATATAACATGGTTTCCTATGGGACACGTTGACATCTATGTGTTTTTATGCCGCTGCATATTTGGAAAGGGTCAGGGACTTTAACTGCAACACAGTGCGTTTTGGTTCAGTAGACTTCAATGGACAAGTAGTAGTGTAGTGCATTTTGTGTTTTTTAACCTGCATAACAGTGAAAACAAAAAATATGCAAAACGCGTGAAAAAACGGATCAAAAGCAAACTGCATAGGTGTAAACCAGGCCTTACTGTGAATGTCTCACGAGACAGACATGTATTGCCTGCCTATGCTTTATATGCTTTGAAGCATGCAGATTTTACACTGGCTTTATGTTTTAATACCGTGAGCCTTCTTTCTTTCTTTTTGTACATGTCAACCAGTCATATTCTCCCAGTCATTGTTCTAGTACTTTACCCACCTCCCACCCGCCATATAAGGAAATGACGGGCACAAGGCGGTTCTCTCGTTCTGGGAGGACGTCATATGATGTCCTCCCACTCTAACCGCGCGTGAGCGGCTCCAGGGGCGCACAGCGGGCGATCGGTGGTGCGCAGTGTCCCTCGGACACAGAGGATCACCGATCAACAGAAAGAGCTGATGACTTCGGCTCGGTCATGTGATCAGCTGTGTCCAATCACAGCTGATCGCATGTAATAAGGAAATGCCGGATATAGGCATTTCTGTCCTCACAAGCTGTCACGCTGACAGCTCGAAAGGAGAGCCGGTAATCGGCATTCCTCAGAGGGGACATGTACACTGATCATCAAGGTACTGATGATTTAGTGTGCCCTAATGATCAGTGTAGCCCCAGCAGTGCCACCTGTCAGTGTCTATCAATGCCAGCTGTCAGTGATCATCAATGCCACCTGCCAGTGCCCATCAGTGCCACATATCCGTGCCTACCAGTGCACATCAATGCCACATATCAGTGCCCATCTGAGCTGCCTTTCAGTGCCACCTATCAGTGCCATCTATCAATGCCAGTCAGTGCCACCTATCAGTGCCGCCTAACAGTGCCAGTCAGTGCCACCTATCAGTGCCATGTAAGAGTGCTGCCTTTCAGTGCCCATCAGGGATGCCTGTCAATGCCCACCAATGCCTCCTACCAGTGCCTCCTCATCAGTGTCACCTATCAGTGCCCATCACTGCAGCCTCATTAGAGCACATCAGTGAAGGAGAAAAATCACTTATTTACAAAATTTTATAACAAAAACTAAGAAAAAACGTTTGGGTTTTTTTTTTTTTCAAAATTTTCAGTTTTTGTTTTTTTAGCAAAAAAAAAAAAACCCAGTGGTGATTAAATACCACCAAAATAAAGCTCTATCTGTCTCAAAAAATTATAAAAATTTCATATGAGTACAGTGTTGCATGACTGCGCAATTGTCATTCAAAGTGTGACAGTGCTGAAAGCTGAAAATTGGCTTGGGCAGGAAGGGGGTATAAGTGCCTGGCAGGCAAGTGGTTAAGAATAATGGATGGGAAAATATACATCTTAGGCTAGTATAAGTAACATAATAGTTCCTCCTTAAAATTGTCCACACAGTAATTGGAACTTTTGTATGGTAGGCCATAAAGCAATGGCATTGCACTTTCAAAATTTGTTAGAGTGGCTTATTCTGAAAGTGGGGCAGTATTGTGAAGTGTAAAAGTCCATCCAAAACACTTTCTTAAGTTTTCAATAGAGGGGAAACCCTTTAGAACAACTGCCAGAATTTTAGAATTGCAGATTCCATTTGAGAGATTTCCCCTCATCTTCTGTCTTGGTGACAATGGACTTCTCAGACAGGAAATAAGGTAAAATCTCCAACAGCCAAAAATGCTTTTTTTTTTAATAAAGTAGGGGAAGGCTAGATAAATTGATGTACAAAAAAACTATTTACAATACAGCTTGTCTTGGTGTATGTGGGTAACCAGAGCACCCAGACGTTTGTTAGTATACATATATTGATTAGAAGATAGTGAAAAAAAGATTTCAGAGTAACCTAACTGTACTGTTGTCATTTCTCATTGCAGCGGGAGCACACAGAAACTCTCAGGCACCTCAATCTGATGCTGATGTTCACAGAGTGTGTTATGGAGCTTACTGCGGCCCGAGGTGGGAGTTCAGATTTGTGCACCTCTGCTGTGTCCCTCTATCAAATTCAAGAGAGTGTGGTAGTGGACCAGATCAGTCAACTGAGCAAAGAATGGGGGTAGGTACAGAGGAATGATTGTTCATTGCTTATTTGTTTGTTCTTGAATAGCTTGCATGTTGACCAGTAGCTAGGAGCACTCTGAAGCCTGTTCAGGTATCTACATCAGGTCGACATGATAATCTGCTCTCTGTGTTTTCATCGTCTTGGGCAATCTGTTAGAGTAAGTAATCCCTGTTGGATTGCCTTGAGCACCAGCATCTAGATGTGACAACATGAACTGTATTTCCTGTTGAGACATTAATGAGGCCAGTAGTTGACCTAAGCTGCTGCTGTTATTTCCCCGTAGACAAGTGGAACAGCTGGTGCTGTACATGAAAGCAGCTCAGTTCCTGGCATCTTCCCTGCCCAACTTGCCAAATCACAAATCAAATCTGGGAAGCTGACACCTTCAAGTGCTGTAAAACAAGGTAAGCCTTGGCAGAAAAAAAATACTATGGTAATATTATCCATACCTTTTTATGAAAGTAGCAATTTTGAATACCATTGTAAGCATTTCATATTGTTGGTGAATGCATCTGCTGTCTTTGATATTGCAGTGGTGAAAAGCATGAACGAGCGATATAAATTCTGCATCAGCATGTGCAAGAAGCTCACAGAGCAGCTCAACCGCTTTTTTTCAGACAAGCAGCGCTTTGTGGATGAGATCAACAGTGTCACAGCAGAAAAGTTAATCTACAACTGTGCTGTGGAGATGGTAAGTAGAGAGAGGTTACTATTCATTAGTCATATATCTTTTTGAGAGAGCATGGGTAGTTACTGTCATTTTGCTTGTCTGCCATGGTCTTTGACGAGAGTAAAAGCCTATTTAAGATTATGTCCTTGTTTAATTTGGTACAAGGGACTTGCTTTGCACTTCTGAGATCATTGGCACGTGCATTTACTCTGAAGTTAACCCCTTTCTAAGCTGCATCAACCTTCTTCAAGCTGCTTCTGCATTCCCATTTACTTGTATGGTGTGAGGAGCAGTTGTGACACCAAAGTCAAACTGAAGCAAGGAATTACATGAGCTTTTTGTTTCATACAGAAACCTCATGGTTCAATCACAGTGTAGTTATCTTTAGCCTTTGGTTCATCCTTTTGTCCTCCAGAATCAAAAACTGGTTGTAAATTATTACAGCTGTGTTCTTTTCAACTCCTTAGTAACACTTTGTTAACTAATGATGCCCATTGAAGAGATACTGTCACTTGGACCCGCATGGGCAAGACAACAGTGTCTCCTTAAATGTTTTTTGAGTCCCAGAACAAGTATACATCAAGTGAAGCTTGGACCCCTAGGTCAGTGACTGGGGAAGTACTAAAGCTTATTAGATGAGGATGACATCAAGGGAAACCATTTTCAGAAGGATAGGTGCCAACAGAAAACATGTTGTTCTCAGCACAGGTTTTCTTTATTATTGGTTTTGTTGAGAAAGTTTTCATTTTCCCCCAAACTAGGTCCAGTCAGCAGCACTAGATGAGATGTTCCAGCATGCAGAAGACATTGCTTATCGTTACCACAAAGCAGCACTACTATTAGAAGGCCTAAGCAAGATCTTGCAGAGTCCCGCAGACATTGAAAATGTCCACAAGTGTGAGTATCCAGAAAATGAAGTCAATGTGTAGCTTTTCTATCTTGCCACTGCCCTATTTTAACAGATGCAGATGTTTCGAAATATAATGCATACATATTGTATGTATGACTTTCAATGACCTGTCAGACCTGCCTAATTTTATAAGCATATGTACTGTATCCCCTCCCTTCTAGCTGGGGCCCCCTGACCCCGGGTGAGACCTTTTGTCTCCTGCACTAAGAGTGGTCTCCAAACTGGGAGAGCTTTCCTCAGACCTGTGTATATAACAACCCGGCACGCCTGTGCACTTAGGCAGGTTGCAGGCATCTGGCAAAACCCAAACACAGGATTGAAATTTCTGATCCAGAATCACAGAATTTAAAGAGGGCCAAAAACACAGCTTTCTCTGCTGAGCACAGCAATCTGGAACTTTGCATTAACCCTAAATGCAAAAATCATGCGTCACATTTCCCTATCTTCAAACAGTGACAGCGCCTCTTACAGTCACTATATATATATATATATATATATATATATATATATATATATATATATATATATATATATATATATATATACACACAGTTGTGTTCAAAATAATAGCAGTCAGACATCACTAACCTGATCAATCACTGTTTTTGATAGAAATTATATTTCTACATGGCAAATTATTTACTAGCAGGTGTAGTAGAGTAATAGAAATCCAACAGACCCAACAGTCATGACATGCATGCTGCTGATTCTGTGTAATTGAATCACTAATTGAAAGGGACATGTTCAAAATAATAACAGTGTGGAGTGAGGTCATTTCATTCTTTGAAAAACAGGTGGCAATTTTTACCCTTATTTAAGGAAGGAAGGCAGCAAATGTTGTACATGCTGATTACAGTGCATTTCTTTCTGAAATTCTGAGGAAAATGGGTCGTTCCAGACATTGTTCAGAAGAACAGCGTACCTTGATTAAAAAGTTGATTGGAGAGGGGAAAACATATAAAGAAGTGCAGAAAATGACAGGCTGCTAGCTAAAATGATCGCAAATGCTTTAACATGGCAACCAAAACCTGAAAGACGTGGAAGAAAGCGAAAAACTACCATTCGAATGGATAGAAGAATAGCCAAAATGGCAAGGACTCAGCCAACCATCAGCTCCAGGAAGATCAAAGAAGGTCTAAAGTTACCTGTGAGTACTGTTACAATTAGAAGACGCCTATGTGAAGCCAAGCTATCTGCAAGAAGCCCCCGCAAAGTCCCACTGTTGAAAAAAAGACGTGCTGAAGAGGTTACAATTTGCCAAAGAGCACATTGACTGACCTAAAGAGAAATGGCACAAAATTTTGTGGACTGATGAAAGTAAGATTGTTCTTTTTGGGTCTAGTGGCCGGAGACAGTTTGTCAGATGACCCCCAAACACTGAATTCAAGCCACAGTACACTGTGAAGACAGTGAAGCATGGTTGCACAAGCATCATGATATGGGGATGTTTCTCATACTATGGTGTTGGGCCTATTTATCGCATACCAGGGATCATGGATCAGTTTGAATACATCAGAATACTTGAAGAGGTCATGCTGCCTTATGCTGAAGAGGAAATGCCCTTGAAATGGGTGTTCCAACAAGACAACGACCCCAAACACACCAGTAAACGTGGAACATCTTGGTTCCAGACCAACAAGATTGACGTTATGGAGTGGCCAGCCCAATCCCCGGATCTTAATCCAATAGAAAACTTGTGGGGTGACATCAAAAATGCAGTTTCTGAGGCAAAACCAAGAAATAGAGAAGAACTGTGGAATGTAGTCCAATCATCCTGGGCTGGAATACCTGTTCACAGGTGCCAGAAGTTGGTTGACTCCATGCAACACAGATGTGCAGCAGTTCTCAGAAACAGTGCTTATACAACTAAATATTCATTGATTCAAAGGAAAGCAAAATCTTCAAACATTTTTCAGTTTATATAGTGAATGTTTGAGTTTGTAAAGAAGAATACAAACACTGCTATTTTTTTGAACAGTCTAATATTCACTTTTCTTCAATTTTTTTTAGAGGAACAACACAAATTTGATATATTTTTCTTCATGTTTTGATTTGGAATAGAATGTGTAGTGTCCCCAATGCATTTGTGTGTATGGAAATAAAAGCTATTAGAAGGATTTTGAGCTTTATTCACTTTTTTCAACACATTGCTATTATTTTGAACACAACTGTGTGTGTGTATGTATATGTATATGTGTATATATATATATATATATATATATATATATATATATATATAGACATAATTAGGGACAAGTCTGAAAACTTAAAGGATAAGTTAAGTTCACCTTTTGCTAAAAATAACAAATGCACCTCTTTTTGCAGGTAAAAAAATATGCATTTATTATTTTTTGTTGCCGGAGCCTGGAAAGCATTGCACCAGTGATCAACAGATCACTTGATGCCACGCAGGTCTCCTGCAGACCTGTCCGTGTATCTGCTTCTTTCTGATACTTACTGACAGGAAGACTGAATGAAATTTTGCAGTGCTCACAGCTCCGTGGTAGTTCATTGAGAACTACAAGCTGACAGTCACTAAGGCTGCCAGGACTTGTAGATTTCCGCTCAGAGAGGATTGTGAATGAGTGGCGTGGGTGAGCAGAGCCCTGCACAGCCGCATTTTTTTTTTTTTTAAATTTTGACAGCTAGCGGAAGATCCCCGCTAGCTGTCGGAGCAGGTGGCGGTCCTTTTTTTTAACATGTTACACTCTAAATATGGGTGTAACATGCAACATGTTATGAAAGGTGAACTTATCCTTTAAAAGGCACAAACGTTCATATGTCTGTGCTATTCAACATTGTGGTCGCTTCTGCTTGGTGTGTCCAAGGCCACTGCAACTCTGATTGTTAGGAAAGTTCTAGAACACATTGCTTATGTGCAATATGTGATGAGGGCTTAGGGGTGGGTATATACACACACTATAGATTACAGAAGAAAAACATTTTCGGAAAAAACTGCATGCTGTTTGTTTAAAGATGAAAAGAGACTCCAAAATGAAAATGTTTAGAGACAGAAGGGTAGATTTGGAACAATTTATCACTGGAGAGAAAGTGGAAAAATATGGTAAAGCATTCCCCACTTGCGTGTTTGGCAAAATATGCTGAATGCACATGTGTGGGTAAATGCTGATGCAGAAGTCAGGGGTGTTACAATTGTAGATACACACAGCCATTCACTTGTTTGGGAGGCTGTACACTGCACCTCGGCTTCCTGTGTGCAGGAAAATGCTGAAAATTTTACACAAGAGAACTTTAGAGCATGTAATTGTCTGTATACAGGATGCCTATCTTTCCCCCAAGATCTAATTAAAGCACTTGGAATATCTATAAACACCACTATTTACTGTCTGTTAGGCCTAAACTCCAGATATATAGATATAAATTACTCAAGTGAATACAGCCCTTAAGAGAAATCATTAAAGAAAAAGTATGGCAGAGGCTTTTTGGCTGTACTTCTACTATGGATCACAGGAGTGCAGTTCGTTTTTCACTCCTGTAATCCATTTCAGCTGACAGTTGGCAAAAGTTCACCGTCGGTTGAAGTCACTCAGCCGGTCCAAACTCTGAAAATATCCCGACCCTGTGGTTGGGTAGCACCCAGATGCCTGGACTGGCAGCTGGCTCAGCCTCTCATTGAGCCGCTGAAAGCCTGAGCCAGCCACTCCCACCCCCCTCCACAGCTTGGCACTCCAATCAGTGATGGAGGGACAGAGCAGAGCCCTGCTCAGTGTGGACTGGAAAACGAAGTGATCAGCAGTGTTTTATCCCTTAGGCCGGCAATACATGGGTTGAAATTCGACCGATTTTTCGTCCGAAAATCAGACCTAAGAATAATCGTCTCTCTGTTAGTGGGTTAATGGCACCAGCCGATTTTCGTGGTTCCTCCCCTTTTCGGTGATCAGGCATGTTGGAAAATTCGTGAAAAGTGACAGATTTTCGACTCAATGATTGTCAAATCGTATGATCATTTTTCCGAAAAGAATGTGCGCATGAGCCGTGACCTGGAAGGAACACAAGTTTCGCCTGTTATATGGGGTGAACTTTATGACTTGGTCGGTCGATTTTCAAAATCGTTGATTGCACCATCGGATTACCAAGCGAACGACATTTTCGATTTTCAGGGAAAAAAATAATTCGGAATTCGAACCATGTATGGCCTGCATAAGTTCTCAGTCTTAGAGGAGGCGAGGCACAGAGGCAACATCGGACTGATGCTGCACCCATCTAGGTTAATATAATTTTTTAAAATTAAACTCATACTTCTCTTTTAAAGATATTTTTATTCAATGCAGGCTAGGGTGAAAGAGAGCACCACTATATTTTTAACCTCCCTGGCGGTACTCCCGAGTGTAGCTCGGAGTAAAGTTTCAGCACCACAAGCGGTAACCCCGAACTACACTACACTCAGGAATACCTTGCAGCGCTGCTCCGGGATCTCTTCTTCACTTACCTTGTCCTGCGCTCCTGCGATGTCCCTCCTGCAGTGTCCCCTGTAATGTCCTCCAGCCGATGCCGGCATCTGTCTTCCCGGGTTCCGTTCCCTGCGACGTCAGGACTTACAAGGACGGAACTGGTGGGAAATTTTAAAATTTTAAAAGTGAAATTCACTAAATTCACATAGTAAAACATTACTGTATCAAACCATTTCACATACATTTTGTCCCGAGTGCTTTGTCCTGTGCCCTGCCTGCATGTTTACTGTTCTTTCTGCCTGGAAACTGAGAAATGTCCATGGCGTCCAAAAATCGTCCCTTTAGGTCAAAAGCGGTCTTAGACCAGCTAGAGAACAGCGATAGTAAATTAGAACCACTTGCAGAATTGAGTGATAATGATTCGTGGGGAAATTCGTCATCAGACACTGAAAACGATTTCGCGACTTTGCACAGTGATGTGCGAACTTGGTGCTCTATTTCAAATTTCAGTGTTTTTGGTTTGATTATATTATTGAATTACATTTATTATTATTATATTATTATTTTTTATGATTATTTAATTATAATTTATGATTTTGTGTTTCAAATTTCACATACCCGGGATGTTTACTAGACTCTTGTTCGGACAGATTTCAGTGAGTTATTCCTAATAACTACAGGCCTACAATAAAAAAACTACATATTTCCATGCAAAAAAATGTACCGCTTTGAGCACAGAAATATGGACATAATCAGACCGCTAGGGAGGCTAATAAGTGTCCTCCACCTGGCTGTGCTGTGTGTCACTGTATAAATCTCAGGACTGGATGGATAGGAATTTAAAACCTTTGGCAGTTCAAAGAGCTCCCTTGCACTGTATATATTTCAACTCTGTATTTAGCAGTTTGTCTAGAGTTTAGCTTTATTAGTACATATGCATTATGATGGGGAACACATATATGCCTTGCGTTAAGTAATGCTCTTAATAGTTTTTTCTTTTTTCCCGGTTCTCTTTTGCAGATAAAGCCAGTGTTGAAAGTAGACTGTCGGCACTTTGCTATGGAGCAGTGGCTGTGTACGAATAGTAACAGTATCCACTGAAACACACAAGAGCTAAACCAGGGACCACTATAGCTTAGTTCTTTGTATCTGTTACTAGGGATTTTACATCTAATGCTTGGAAAGAGAAACCAAAATTCCCCTATGGAGGCTTTCAGAGAAGAACAACCACCCCAGGACTGAAAATTTAAGTATGCAGGAAGGCTGCCTTATTTTAAAGACACTCCTTGCAAAACATGCCTTCAGCATACACATGACATGGAAGGAAATGTCGTCTGCAAATTTTACCTTGTGTATGTATTTCTAATATGTAAAATTAATAATGGACTGTGGTTGCTCCAGTAATAACGGTGGAGGTGTTGGAAATGGGAGCTAGACCTTCAGGAATGGTGACTGCAAGATAACAGCAAAAGGGACTCCATGTTACCTGTAGGGGAGTTTCTTCAATAAGGTCTGGACCCAGAACATCCATCCATTCATCTTTACAAAGAGAAGCATAAGCAGAGCACTTTATACTGAGCAGGAACAGTAAAAACTATTCAAATCCAGCCATGTGGAGTCTTGATTAATTTTATTATCCATTTTGATGTTGCTACTTGACGTTCTACTTTTAAACCAATTTATTTTGCACTAATTTCTTAAAACTGTAAATTACCTTATATGGAACTCTTTATCAATATTAAAAAGGCACAATGAATTTACTGAGAAAATGATCATTTCATTGTATGTATAGAAAAAAAAAAGTTGAAATTGAATATGTAGCTTCCTAAAGACTTTACAACCTATACAAAAGAATTTATTTGTGACCCTTTTGTATCTCTTTTGTCTAATACTTGATTACTAATGTCTGTTTTCTTTTCATGTTTTACTTTGTTGGTATTTGCTTTCTATTCAGATATTGTGTGTTGCATATAATGGTTGTGCATGTGATAACGTGCTTACTTACAGTTGTCCTCTTTATTGGGTATTTCCTAACAAACGTAAATATGTTTCATGGACAGTGTTAGAGAAGGAAGACTATGATGTAACATAGGCTGTTGTGTGTGAGACTACTACTGTATTAGAGATGTTAAACAGTAGTTTAGGTCAGTTAAATCCCAGTATCTGTAGCGTGGCTTGTAAAACGCTAAGGTGTTCACATGGCTCAACAGTAGATGGTGTAGTAGAAGCAGCGCTTAACATTGGCACCAGAGGTTTCGTGACTAAAGTTGCCATGTGACTTGTACATCTAGGGTTTATTCTCTCTATAGAAGGCCAGTACTTGGTAAGGAACATCAATTTAGACAACAGGTGCCACTTGTTTGGTTTGTATTATGCCATTTTCATTAATGTGAATCTTCCAATACAGTTTTGGAAAAGCCTTTTATGTAATTTTTCTTAACTGCCACTCCATAGAGGGTGAGCCCAAGATTATCCATTCATGGACTTACCGATTTAACATTTTTATAGCTTTAACTTTATTATAGCTATTATTGTAAAAAGGCATTTCAAGTGTATTATGCATTTTTGCCCATCTAAAGTTTGTGCTTTTAAAATTTCGCCACCCCCATTATTGGTATATCATTTTTATTTACACTTTTTCCTATATTATTCCTTGTTACGGTATCTGTGCTCCAAACAAAAAAGGGATATGTTTGAATTCGATTTAATAATACATTTCTCCCAATTCTGTATTTTCCTTCCATATGTCATGTATTTTAACAAAAAAGGCAGATTTATGACAAGGTTTGGAGACGCGCACTTTGCCCATTCATTGTCTTCTGATAGCCAACCCCTCCAGCAAGTTATACTCACCTAACATCATCTCCCCTATTCCATCAGAACCCTTGTTCTGTTGCTGTCATGGAGCAGGGCTTCTGAGTATTAGGGTGCATTTGACGGTGCACATGAACGAATGACTTATCGCCGGTCACATGACAAGGGTATGGGTGTCATGCCCCGGTGTAAGCACCCATGGATAGGTGTGTATACCTTGCTGAAGAGGTGTGCTATCAGGGGGCTTTGTCACTCTTCCCTGATTGAGCAGATGACAGTGTCTCTTTGAAGCTCTTGCCCTAAAGAAATCCTTTCTTCATAGATGCGTTTTGTAACGTATATTCATCTGTTAATGTTACTGTACCCCCCCACTGTTAATGAGGCTTACAAGTTTCAGAGAAAAAGTAGGACCCCCGTCCCCTTTACCTTAGTGCCCCTTCCAGCTGTTGTAATAGCCCACTTTCAGTAGAGGAGAATACCAACAAATACAAGTGTTCAGTCCACCTTAGGCTTCAGTTTTCAGCCATGAAAAGGAAGAAGACCCTTGTTACACCACATCACTCAGGTCTAGATGTCATTTCTTTTTTTAATTAAACTGGAGCGCTCATTTTAGAAGTATTGTGGAAGGTAATATTACCTTTCAGTGTGCCAGGATGAGTATTGGGAACAAAACCATGACATTCATGTAAGCAGTCTTGTACTGCGTTTGCCCAGTAGATTCATAAGAAAACGCGGAGGCTACCATCTACGCATGTCCGGCTCTTCCATGAGTTGGCATAATCTCCAGCAAATAGGGTTTTTCTCCTGAAACTTTAATACTTGAACAGAAATTTTACAAAAAAAAAAAAAATCTGACAGCGTTAAATACTATTACTGAAATAGTACCAAGGCACTTCACACATCTGCAATACGTTGATATTATTTTACCGCGTGTTTTACTTGACCGCAACATTTTTATTATTTATCTGAAATTCTGCCAATTTAATTTTTAAAGTGTTTTTATTTATGTACTTGCTTGTGAAATATACAAATGCATTGTGTGTGCATTTCTAGGTCTTTAATACGTGTTTCTACCTCTTGTTTGTAAACTGCATGCATTCAACTTAGGTAACAACTCACAGAACTGTTGCAAAAATAGCCTTTTTTATTATGGCTTGTATAAATGTATATGATGAATAAAATGGGGGAAAAACGCTACAATTCCTTTTTTTTTTTTTTTTTCCTTTTTTTTTATTTCAGCATTCAACACTGCTTGTGCTTTAATCAGCCACATCCTGCACTTCTGCTTTTAAAGGTTTATTTGCCTACCTTAAAAAGCAGAAACAAGCATAAACTCCATAGCACGCAATGCTGGGGGTGGGAAAAGAGACATGCATAGATATGGTACTGTGGTCAAGGATGGCCTGAATATGATTTCATATGGTGCTGCTTGGAATGTTTGCATGATAAATTCCCACACGCTGACTTTTCTCCTTCAACAGCACAGTATACAGGTCTATTGAAGGTTCTTGACTGGTACATGTACATTTCATGTACATGTATGCAGACATAGTTAAGGAGATGGTCACAGACTGCAGTCATACTACTAGAGCTGGTCAGAGACTGCTGACATTGTTCAGGAGATGGTCAGAGACTGCAGTCCTACTGCCAGAGATGGTCAGAGACTGCAGACCCACTTCAGAAGAAGGTCAGAGACTGCAGTCATGCTACCAGAGAATGTCAGAGACTGCAGCCATGCTACCAGAGAAGGTCAGAGACCTCAAACATACTTCAGGAGGACAGAGACCGCAAACATACTTCAGGAGAAGGTCAGAGACTGCAAACATACTTCAGAAGAAGGTCAGAGACTGCAGACATGTCTTGCTACAGAAGACTGCCAGAGACTGCAAACATGCCACAAGAGATGCTCAGAGACAGCAGACGTACTTCAGGAGATGGTCAGAGACTACAGTCATACTACTAGAGCTGGTCAGAGACTGTAGACCTAGATCAGGAGAAGGTCGGAGACTGCAAACATACTTCAGGAGACAGTCAGAGACTGCAGACATGCTTCAGGAGAGGTTCAGAGATTGCAGACATGATTCAAGAGACTGTCAGAGACTGCAGACATACCTCAGGAGATGGTCATACAGGTCTGACTGGTACATGTGCATTTCATGCCTTAGTGCAGAGATAATCAACTTTCTTTATCTTAGGGGATTAAAATATTAAAATAATGTCTTGCTATAGAAGACTGCCAGAAACTGCAAACATGCCACAAGAGATGGTCAGAGACAGCAGACATACTTCAGGAGATGGTCAGAGACTACAGTCATACTACTAGAGCTGGTCAGAGACTGCACACCTAGATCAGGAGAAGATCAGAGACAGCAGACACACTTCAGGAGATGGTCAGAGACTGCAGTCATACTTCCAGAGAAGGTCAGAGACCTTTGACCTTCTCCTGAAGTATGTCTAAGGTCTCTGACCTTCTCTGGAAGTATGACTGCAGTCTCTGACCATCTCCTGAAGTGTGTCTGCTGTCTCTGATCTTCTCCTGATCTAGGTGTGCAGTCTCTGACCAGCTCTAGTAGTAGGACTGTAGTCTCTGACCATCTCCTGAAGTATGTCTGCTGTCTCTGACCATCTCTTGTGGCATGTTTGCAGTCTCTGGCAGTCTTCTATAGCAAGACATTCTTTGAATATTTTAATCCCCTAAGATAAAGAAAGTTGATTATCTCTGCACTAAGGCATGAAATGTACATGTACCAGTCAGACCTGTATGACCATCTCCTGAGGTATGTCTGCAGTCTCTGACAGTCTCTTGAATCATGTCTTCCAGCTCTGAACATCTCCTGAAGCATGTCTGCAGTCTCTGACTGTCTCCTGAAGTATGTTTGCAGTCTCTGACCTTCTGATCTAGGTCTACAGTCTCTGACCAGCTCTAGTAGTATGACTGTAGTCTCTGACCATCTCCAGAAGTACGTCTGCTGTCTCTGACCATCTCTTGTGGTATGTTTGCAGTCTCTGGCAGTCTTCTGTAGCAAGACATGTCTGCAGTCTCTGACCATCTCCTGAATTATGTTGCAGTCTCTGACCTTCTCCTGAAGTATGTTTGCAGTCTCTGACCTTCTCCTGAAGTATGTTTGCTGTCTCTGACCTTCTCCTGAAGTATGTTTGCTGTCTCTGACCTTCTCCTGAAGTATGTTTGCTGTCTCTGACCTTCTCCTGAAGTATGTTTGAGGTCTCTGACCTTCTCTGGTAGCATGACTGCAGTCTCTGACATTCTCTGGTAGCATGACTGCAGTCTCTGACATTCTCCTGACGTATGTCTGAGACTGCAGATACACTTAAGGAGACGGTCAGGGACTGCACACATACTTCAGGAGAAGGTAAGAGACTGCAGACACACTTTAGGAGATGATCAGAGATTGCAGTCATACTACCAGAGAAGGTCCGAGACCTCAGACATACTTCAGGAGCTGGTCAGAGACTGCAGACCCACTTCAGGAGAAGGTCAGAGACTGCAAACATACTTCAAGAGACTGCAGACATGCTACCATAGATGGTCAGAGACTTTAGACATACTTCAGGAGATGGTCATACAGGTATATTGAAGCTTCTTGACTGATACATGTAGATTTCATGCCTTAGTGCAGAGATAGACAACTTTCTTTATATTAGGGATTAAAATATTCAGTGAATGTCTGTCTTGCACAGAAGACTGCTAGAGACTGCAAACATGCCACGAGAGATGGTCAGAGACTGCAGACATACTTCAGGAGATGGTCAGAGACTGCAGACATACTTCAGGAGATGGTCAGAGACTGCAGAAACACTTCAGTAGATGGTAAGAGACTGCAGTCATATTATCAGAGAAGGTCGGAGACCTCAGACATACTTCAGAAGATGGTCAGAGACTGCAGACATGCTTCAAGAAACTGTAGACATGATACCAGAGATGGTCAGAGACGTTAGTCTATTGAAGCTTCTTGATTGGTACATGTACATTTCATGCCTTAGTGCAGAGATTGTCAACTTTCTTTATATTAGGGGATTAAAATATTCAGTGAATGTCTTGCCATGAGAGAGATGGTCAGAGACCTCAGACATACTTCAGGAGAAGGTCAGAGACTGCAGACATGCTTCAAGAGACTATCAGAGATTGCAAACATGCTACCAGAGATGGTCAGAGACTTTAGACATACTTCAGGGGATGGTCAAAAACTGCAGACATACTACAAAGAATGGGCAGAGACCCAAACCCAGCCATTTCCCACCTGCCATCACTATTTTTTGTAATTTTTTTTGTACATTATGTACAGATTTGCATTTTGTTTTTACTATTTTTTTTTTAACTGTTATTTATTTTTTCTGGTAAGGCTGCTCCTGCTTGTCAAGCAAACAAGGGCAGGGATTCTGTAAAACTACTGTAAACACAATATTAATTGGGTCTAACAAAACTTGTTTGCTATAGTAAAGGAAACTACAGACCTCAACAAGTAATACTAGAGTATAGTTATTTGCATGTTTCCATTCAACATATACGGTCTATTACTGCATACTGTAACACTGTGCCTTTTTTATTGAATGTGGCAGGTTTTTTTTTTGTTTTTTTTTTTTTTTTTTTTTTTTCCAAAGCTACATTTCAGCAAAGGTCTTAGTGTTGGACTGACAGCACTCCTCAATTCAGTAGGGGTGAGATGTCTCACAGTGCTGTCCTCCCTCCTCCCATCTGCTATGCAGCTGATTACTAAATAACTTATTAGATTAAAATAAACTAATAAAACATTTAAATACAGAAACTAGAAATATTTAAAGCTGACTCAAAACAAACCATTAAAGAGACCCTGTCTCCAGACCATTAATTTCAACATAAATCTTCCCATAAGATTATATGTGCATTAAGATACTTTGTGCAAGTAGTTTACCTATAAAAACCTTCCTTGTGAAGACATCCAAAGCCTCTGAGACTGCTGCTGGGCACAGCCATCTTGGATGCAAATGTTTTAACCACTTCCCATCCGTCCCCTATAGCAGAAATACTGCTACAGGGCGGCACGGGTGCGCACAATCACGTGTATATATGTATGTGTATGTATATATATATATATATACACACACACACACACAGTTGTGCTCAAAAGTTTCCATACCCTGGCAGAAATTGTGAAATTTTGGCATTGATATTGAAAATATGACTGATCATGCCAAAAAATGCTTTTTTATTGAAGGATGATGATCATATGAAGCCATTTATTATCAAATAGTTGTTTGGCTCCTTTTTAAATCATAATGATAACAGAAATCATCCCAAATGGCCACGATCAAAAGTTTACATATGTTTGGAATGTTTGGCGTTGGTACAGACACACATGGTGACACACACAGTTAAAATGCCAATTAGAGGTTAATGTCCCACATCTGTGGCTTTTTAAATTGCAATTAGTGTAAGTGTATAAATAGCCAACGAGTTTGTTAGCTCTTACGTGGAAGCACTGACTAGGCTAGATACTGAGCCATGGGGATCAGAAAAGAACTGTCTAAAGTCCTGCGTAACAAGGTAATGGAACTTTATAAAGATGGAAAAGGACATAAAAAGATGTCCAAAGCCTTGAATATGCCAGTCATCACTTCCACTAAGAAGTATAAAATTCAGGGACCTCTTGATATCAAGCCAAGTACAGGTAGACGAAGAAAGATTGTAGTCATAACTGGCAGAAGAATTGTTCGGGATACAAAGGGAAACCCATATGTAACCACAAGAAAAATACAGGCTGCTCTGGAAAAAGACAGTGTGGTTGTTTTGAAGGAGCACAATATGATGACACTTGAACAAAAATGAGCTGCATGGTGGAGGTGCCAGAAAGAAGCCTTTACTGCATCAATGACACAAAAGGCCTGGTTAGGCACGTCATGGTGTTGTCAGGCATATTGTAACCGGGCTTTTTTGTGGCATTGGTGCAGTAAAAGATTATTTCTGGCACCTCGACCAAACAGCTCATTTTTGTTCAAGTATCACCATATTGTACTCCTTAAAAACAACCACACCATCTTTTTCCAGAGCAGCCTGTATTTCTTTTGAGGTTACCTGTGGGTTTTTCTTTGAATCCCGGACAATTCTTCTGTCAGTTATGGCTGCAATCTTTCTTGGCCTACCTGACCTTGGTTTGGTATCAAGATATCCCCAAACTTTCCACTTCTTAATAGGTTATTTAACAGTACTGATTGGCATATTCAAGGCTTTGGACATCTTTTTCATCTTTATAAAGATCCATTACCTTGTTACACAGGTCTTTTCACAATTCTTTTCTGGTCTCCATGGCTCAGTATCTAGCCTAGTCAGTGCATCCACGTAAGAGCTAACAAACTCATTGACTAAGCACTGACACTAATTGCAAATTAAAAAGCCACAGACGTGGAAATTAGCCTCTAATTGGCATTTTAACCCGTGTGTGTCACTTTGTGTGTCTGTACCAAGCCCAAACATTCCAGGGTATGTAAACTTTTGATCATGGCCATTTGGGTGATTTCTGTTATCATTATGATTTAAAAAGAAGACAAACAACTATGTGATTATAAATGGCTTCTTATGATCACTATTCCTAAATAAAAGACTGTTTTTTGGCATAATCAGTCATATTTTTCTGGTTCAATATTTTTATTAAGAAAGTTTTGTTTTAAGAATACAACAAGCTCAAGATACGCCCACGCAGGGGCAGAGCAGAACAATAATACATAAACAGATACATCCTGCTGACTTGTATTAGCCAAATAACAAAATGTCCAATGACATCAAGGAGGGACAGTAAAAAGCCAAACCAAATAATACAGCAGTAATCCAACATATTACCGGAAAAAGAAGAGGAAAGAAAAAAGGTTAGATAAAGGAAAAAGAAAATGAAACAAAAAAAAAAAGGAATGAGAAAGAAAACATGGAGGAAAGGAAAACTAGAAGAATCACGGATCCAGCGCTAGCACAGGCAGCGACTATAAGAGGCCATAACTAGTAGGAGGCAGGGATGGCAATGAATAACGTATCCAAGGTTCCCAAACATTAAGGAATCTCGGATGAGCATCATGAAGAACGCTAGACATCTGTTCATTGATCAACATAGCATTCATCCGGGTCTTCACCCCCTGGAAGACAACCGAAGGGGTTCTCCAAGCTTGAGCTATAGCACGTTTGGTCGAACTAAATAGGTAGGGTGCCAATTTCTGCTGAGACCTAGACAGACCCAAAATTGGGCAATGCAGGAGGGCCACTCTTGCATCCCTACAGACCGTAATATGAAATAGTGTTTGTAGCAAACCAAAAACCCTAGACCAGAAGCCTATCAATCGCGGGCACAACCACCAAATGTGCAAGACGTCCCCAAGTAGACCCCAGTTCTGGAAACACCTATCTCCGCCAGTCGGATTAAAGTGAGCAGTCCGAGCCAGGACCCAGTACCACCACAGTAGAACTTTGTGCCTCAAGAGTGACCGTATTGAACATTTTGCCACCATCCCGCAGGCCCTACGCCAATCCTCCGCCGCAATCGAGAAACCCAGATCTCGCTCCCATTGAGAGACATAAGACAGGGGTGGTGAGGAGGACTTACTGTTAAGAGAGGCATAAATTACAGAAATGAGACCAGGGGACCCTGGGGAATGCTGACAGGCGTGTTCAAAGGGTGTTTTGTGGTAAGGATATGTAGAGGTACGACGGAGGGATAGGAACCAGTGGTGCAATTGCAAATACCAAAAATATTCCCGTGGCGGGACCCCCCTTGATTCTCGAAGAGACTCCCATGATGGAAACGTACGAGCGCTGAGAAAATCATGTACAATAACAAAGCCATGGGAGGTCCACCAAGAGAAAGAAGGGGGATGTTCTAGGCCTGGTGGAAATAAAGGATTTTACGTAATCGGCAAAAGAGGTAGAAATGATGAAATCAAATTATCCGAATATTTTACAGAATCCCAGGTTCGTAAACTGTGAAGCATGATAGGGCTCAAATCTGGAGGGCGCAACTTAGGCGGGAGCCAAAGCAATGTAGTTAACTCAGTCATATTTTAATATAAATGCAAAAATGTCACAATTTCTGCTAGGGTATGCAAACTTTTGAGCACAACTGTATATATGTGATTTTGCATTACTGGGTAGGGGTGCCCTACCCACGCCACCAACCGTGGGCCGTAGCTGTCAATCACTGGGTACCAGTGATTTCTAACAATCTCCGATGGGGGGGAGGGGGTATTGGGGGGAGAACTGTTTTGTTTACTATCAGTTCTCCTCCCTGTCAGCTTAGGCACACAGCCATACAAACACACTGAAACGGTCCCCTATGTAAAACACTCCCAACACACAGTTAACCCTTTGATCACCCCTCATGTTTACCCCTTCCAGCCCAGTGCCATTAGTACAGTGTCAGTGACGTTGGCTCTTTACTATGTGATCAGCTATGTCCAATCACAGCTGATCACATGTAAACAAATGACAGTTATCGGAATTTCCTTTTCTCAGCAATGTCCCTGTCCAGGGGCGGACTGACAACTCATGGGGTCCCTGGGCAATAGGGGATCATGGGGCCCCTGTGTCCTTGCCCAAACTCAAAGTACACCCAAAAAAGCCTATGAAAGGTACCAGGGGCATTTCATGGGGCCCCCTACTGACCCTGGGCCCTCGGGCAGTGCTCGAATGGTCAGTCCACCCCTGTCCCTGTCTGAGGAAAGGAAAGCCAATAACTGGCAAACCTGTGACAGGCACATTTACACTGATAATCAGGGCACTGATAATCAGTGCAGCCTCATCAGTGCATATCAGTGAAGAAGATACATTATTTATTTACAAAATTTTTTAACAGAAACAGAGAAAAAGTTTTTCGTTGGTCTTTTTTCATTTGTTTAGCAAAAAATAAAAACCCAGTGGTGATTAAATACCACCAAAAGAAAGTTCT